TTTACATTTCAGTCATTAATGAACAAAGTTTTCTGTCAGTACTTGCGGCGCTTCATTCTTGTATTTTTTGACATCCTAGCCTAAAACATCGATTGAGAGTCTCACATGCAACATCTATGCATTACTCTTGATGTCCTCTGATCACATCAGCTGTATGCTAAGTGGACGAAGTCTGATTTTGGACAGACATAGATTCACTACTTGGGTCACATTGTTACAGGAGGCACTGTATGAGCAGATCCAGACAAAATAGAATGCATGGTGCAGTGGTCCAAGCCCATGGCCGTCTAGTGCCTTCGTCGTTTTCTAGGCCTCACCAGATATTGGCCCTTCATTAAGGGGTTTGGTGCTCTGACAGCTCCACTGATAGAATTTCTTAAAAATAATGCATTTAATTGGTCGGAGGAAGCAGAACAAGCTTTCACAACATTGAAGCAAATTCTCATTACTCCACCAATATTGTAATTACTGGATTTCTCCAAGCCCTTTGTGGTGGAATCAGATGCATCAGGAAGGGGCATAGGGGCCGTACTATTACAGGAAGAAAAGGCCATAGCCAATTTCAGTAAAGTCCTCTCTTCACAGGCCCAATGCAAATCCACCTATGAAAAGGAATTAATGGTGGCGGTTCTGGCTGTGCAAAAGTGGAGAGGATATTTGTTGGGGCAAACCTTCACCATTTGCTTGAATCAACGAAGCCTAAGGTATCTAGTAGAGCAACCTGTTCTAAATGAGGTACAACAAAGATGTCTATATAAATTGATGGGTTTTGACTTCACAGTAGAATACAAAACAGGTCCATCCAACTTAGTTGCTGATGCCTTGTCAAGACAGCAGGAATTCCTTCAGTTGGCAATCTCTAAGCCCACTTATCCATTCATTGATCAGCTCAGAGCAGAAGCCTCTAATGATACTAGTCTTAGCAGAATCCGGAATCAGATTGTGACTGGGGGCTGTTCTCTACCTATCTTCTCTCTTTATAAGGATGTTCTTATGCATAAGGGCAGAATGGTTTTACCATCCACTTCAAGCCACATTCCGGCTCTCTTGGAGCTTTTTCATGCATGTCCAATAGGAGGACATTCAAGCATCCTAAGGACTTACCACCAGGTATCAGCCCATTTTTACTGGGTGGGCATGAAGAAGCACAGATTCGTGACTATGTTGTCACATGTGTGATATGCCAAGGACACAAGTATGATGACCAGTCCCCAGCGGGGTTTGTTACAACCACTACCCCTTCTGGAGCAAGTGTGGGATGAGGTCACCATGGACTTCATTACCGGCCTTCCCCCTTCCATAGGTAAGACAGTCATTGTTGTTTTTGTAGATTGTCTGTCTAAATATGCACACTTCGTGCCCTTATCCCACCCATATACAGCAGCACAAGTGGCCAAAGTTTTTATTCAAGAAGTTTCCCGTTTACATGGCATACCCAAAACTATTATTTCTGACCATGATTCAGCCTTCATGAGTCGGTTCTGGTCTGAATATTTTCAAGCATAGGGGACCAAACTCCACCATTTGACAAGTTATCATCCACAGACTGATGGGCAAATGGAGGTTGTCAACAGCTTCCTTGAGACCTATCTGCGATGCTTTACTAGTGATTACCCCAGGCAGTGGGTCAAGTGGCTCCCATGGGCAGAATACTGGTATAATACTTCCTTTCACATCTCAATTGGCATGTCACCTTTCCAAGCTCTATATAAATGGGAACCACCTTCGATATTACTGGATGACAAAGGGTCCATTGCTGAAGCGGAGGTGGATGCACACTTGAGGGAAAGAGATGCAGTCATCAAGGATCTAAAGGTCAACTTGATCAAGGCCCAACAACAGATGAAGGCTCGATATGATAAAACACCAAGATGTCCAATTCAAGGTAGGGGACTAGGGTTACTAGAAGCTGAGGCCTTACTGCCAAGGTAGCCTAGCAAAATGGACCTCACAAAAGCTAGCTCCTAGATTTTATGGTCCATTTCGTGTGGCAGAGAGAGTAGGCAAGGTGGCTTACAAGTTGGACCTTCTGAGTTCTTCCAATACATCCCACGTTCCATGTATCTCTCTTAAAGAAACATGTGGGACCTATACCCTCTGCTTTAGCTAGTCTACCTGAATTCTTAGAGGATGAGGCTTTGCAACCTGACATGGACCATATTGCTGACTTCCGATGGATCAGAGATGGTAATAAGATGATTCAGCAGGCCTTGGTGGTCTGGAAACACCTACCACCAGAAGATGCAACATGGGAAGAATACTCTCAGCTGCAACAACGCTACCCAGACATTAACCTTGATGACAAGGTTATTTTAAAGGGGGAAGGAGATGATGGAACTGTTAATAAGAATAATAGTGGGAATGGCCCATTCAGGCCCATTAAACAGGTGTACACCAGGGGACCTCACAAGATGGCCCAATATAACTAATATGTTGTAACCATGGCATCCATAAATAGCCCATGACATAATAAGAAGGCATTGAGCCATTTTCTCAAGTCTCTCTCTCTCTCTCTAATTCTTGAATTCAGGAGGCAGAGTCTCCCTCAAAGAAGACTCCTGAGGTGAGCAGGTTCTGATCATAAACACAAAAACAGAAATGTCTTATCTTGGAGTATTTGGCATTAATTCTTGTTGATCACTTTTTGGAAAATGAGTTAATGGAGTTTCTTTTATAAGTAGGATGTTCAACTGAGTCATATTTTAATACTTTCAATAGGTTCTTCACATCAGTTCATGCTTTCTTGTTTTGGTGTACCTTCTCTACTTAGAATAGAAAGGGCAGGAACTCTCGTATCTGTGCAGTTGTGCACATGAAGCAACATGTTGATCCAGATGGTCAAGCTGTCACTCAGAGGCCATGACTGTTTAACTCCATGCCTGTCAATAGACAAAAACCTGTTGATTTAGTAAAAAACCATTCAACCCAGATGTTGCAACCACTGAACAGTTCAACCTGGTCTACAGGTCAGAGTTATTATTAATTTTTAATATCAAATTTGTATACTTTCATCATTGTCGTCATCCAAGCCTTATCCCAACCATATGGGGTCAGCTACATGAATCCTGTTTAGCCATTACATTCTGTTTAATGCCATATCCATTGTTAAATTATGAGCATTTAAATCATTTCTTACTACAACCCATGCCCTTTTTGTTTTACCCCTAAACCTTCTAGCCCCTTCAACTTGTAATAGATTTTTATACTTTAATAAAATCTAAAATTAATACTTCGTTTTAAATTCAACCAGTCAGTCAATCTGTCAAACTGGAAATATGGAGAGACTAGAGAGAGGGAAGAGAGAAAAATATACCATGCTAGAGGTGCAAGTTGAGGTCAACCCTAACACAATCCGACCTGATGACTTTGGGTTGGATTGTGATTGAGTTGGCCCGATTTGTTTACTTATTTTTTGTTAAATCTTCTTATTTCTTAGACTTAATTAAGATTAGCAGATTAAGGTTAACTCACTTTAGCAGAGTATGTACATGGACATAGTTATGGTGTTTAGTATTATACCTATGTCACACTAAGAATAATTTTGCCTTTAAGCTTAAAAAATTGTTGATGCATAGACACATACACACACATATTGATGAACAGTGATACATATATATGTATGCATATATTCATGGGTGCATAGTTGCATACATACATGAATAAACATACACAAACACATGCATGCATATGAATATATGTATGTATGTATGAAGAAATGTCAGGCTCAGGTTTGGTCAGGTTGCCCAAGGCCTCAACTCTAACCCGACCAGAAGTTGAGTTGGGTTCATTTTTTTCAACCCTAACCCTAACCTGAACTCAACCCAACCCAACCTAACTTTTTTTTTTGGGTTGAGTTCAGGCTAGGTCAAGTTGCAGCTCTAACCATGCAAACTGGTAAAGGTAATAGAAGCAACAAGGATGATGGCAGGTCAGTGAATTGCAACATTTCTTGATTGGTTCTTTTTCTTCTTCTTCTTCCACCAATCTCCCCCTACTATGGTGCTACCTTTGTCTCTGTATCACACTGTCTTCCCCAGTACCCTCCCCCCCTCTCTCTTGATAAATAAGGTATTTTTCATTACTCAAAAGATGGGAGGGAGTCCCTCAAAATGTACAAAAAGTATGATTCCCTCCCCAGTACTCTCTTTCTCTTAAATTACAATTTCTTGATCTCTCTAGTCTCCTCAGTTCTCCTATATCTGAATCCTTCTACAGTAAACTCATCTTTGTGTCACATCCCTTGTTGAATTGTCGATCTTTGCTCGGTCAATCACTTCTCTCCTCAGTTGCCTCCCACCCATTATCTGTTGTAACTCCTCATTTGGTCAGTCCACTCTCCTTCTTCCTTTCACTCTCTCTCTCTCTCTGCCCCCAAGCGCCCATTCAGCTGGTTTCTCTCCTCTTCAATTCCCCTTCTCCATTTCTACATTCTTCCCATCACCCCTCTCAACAGTCCAGTTATGGGTATTAAGTATAGTGTTCTATGACCTGTGTGACCCGGATGGTATGACCATTGAACTGTCACCCAGAAACAAAATGGGTCAGTCACTGGTTAATATTGTCTCCTTGCTGAAACCAGGACCATTGGGATAGGGAGTTTGCCTTTGGGTACATGAAACAGATCATTTTAGCAGTTTTAGGGAAACATGGATAGAGGTAGAGGGATCCTTGGCCTTTTAGGACTACATTAGGGAGGCTTGAGGTCTGATATTCACAGTGAACATATTCAGGGGGATTTAGAGGTTTCAGGTTAGCTGACACTCAAGCAGACAGTCTACCTGGGGGATTTATGCTTTGTTCTTTTGGTTGATCTTGACATCTTGTATTATGGTGGATGTGGTTGCTTTATCGAGTGGTAATTTTGGTCAGACTTACACTCAGAAAGAGTATTCTTGGTTATTTATGCGACTATAGATTCATTGATCTAGTTACTAATACAAAAAAGTGCCTCCCCTAAAGAAAAAAAAAGATATTCATTCAACGATTTTTTTGATCATCAGGTAATTACACTGGATATGGGACTTCTGGTTGCCGGTACAAAATATCGTGGAGAATTTGAGGAGAGATTGAAGAAGCTAATGGAGGAAATCAAACAAAGTGATGAGATAATACTCTTTATAGATGAAGTTCACACTTTGATAGGAGCAGGAGCAGCTGAGGGCGCAATAGATGCTGCAAACATATTGAAACCGGCTCTCGCAAGAGGAGAACTGCAGGTAATTTATCTTTGCTTTGTGCACCTAGAATAATATGCCCCTTATTTTATGGCTTTAATTGGTATTCTGATAGCATATGTTGCCATTGTAATACAAGTTCTTACATTCTAAATTGATGATATATCGGGCAAGGGACGTAAATAGTATTTACATACTTCCTCCTCTCTTTTGTGGCATCTTTCTGTATTAGTGATAATTTAAATTTGACAATGCCATGGTTGAAAAAGCTTGTTACTGGTTAGCGAACGGCTATAGTTGAAAAAGTGATACTCAATTGGCTGGTTGGTCCATTATGGCACTTGGGTTGTGTACTTGTGTTTGGTACCATTGCTGTTTCTACCTGAAGCATTTTGGGTTGATTAATACAAATTGGTGAGAGATATGTATTGTGTCATGAGAATCACTTCATCTAGAATGATTAGTACCATTGCTGTTTCTACTTGGAATGGAAATTTCACATTTCTGGAAACAGTTTCCCACACATGGTTTTTTTTTGAAGCCCAACATGCATTTTTAAGGTATGCATGTTTCAACATAAACAGCCCAGTTGTGTGCCAATTTGTATTGATCAACCCAAAACATTCAGGTAGAAATAGCAATGGTACCAAACACAACTTTGATCCCTTGCATTGTCTGGAGTGTGGAGTTACATATGAGGTCCCGGATGTAAAATTTCTATTTGGTTTCTCTTGTAAAATATCTTTAAATATTTCTGCAATTGGGTATCCTTATTTTTTTTTAAATTTTGCAATAGAAAGTGAATGAAACTTCTTCATAAGTGATTACTCTATCTCCTGGTTTCTGATAGGTGATCTCTATTGCTACAAATGATTTTTGATATTGCCAGAGAAAGGTGTTATTTTAATTGATTTGATTGATAGAAGATTTAGTTTTACACCATTGACATTTCTTTTCTAGCAATATGAAAGTAGGATATGGCCTTCAAAGAAAAAATGGAAATAGGATATGGAAATAACTTTGCCTAGAAGGATAAGGGAATGTGAGCCTAAATGTTGGTAGGGGGAAGGCTTAAAAGAGGGTTTCAAATAAAAAAAGAAATAAAAAAAATGAATGGTTACAGGGGTGGTTCAAAAGTTATACATAATAGAGTGGGGCCAAGCAAGTTGTTGGCTGAATTAAGTTTAAATAAGAATAATTGGGCCCATGGTGAGTTCCAAGAAGGAAAGAGTTGGGGACGGGACAAATAAGAGTGGGCGTAGGGCTTTGAACAGGAAGAACACATTTGGTGTGTCACCAAGTATGTGTATGATGAAAGACTATCGGGAGTGAAGACAAAAAGGGGAGATCTGAGTTTGAACAATCTGATAAAAGGCCTAATGATGATCATGTTACAGATAATCTCGACGACATACAGTGCGAGGTTGCGTGTGGCGAGGTTCCCAAAACAGTTGAAATCTTAGATACCGATGAATGGCAAGTTGCAAGCGTGATAGAGGGTAAGGGAAAGTGAAGTTCGTGGCCGCAACACAATGGAAGTGAGAGATTGTTAGGACAAGCAGCAATATTGAACCCAAGCTGGTGTATGGGAATAACCAACCCAAACAAAAGACCTACAAAAGAAGGAAGCCACACCAACTCTCAAGTCCAAGTAATGACAGGTTGGCATAACCGAAGGCTACAAGAAGTGAGAGTTAGCTTCCAAAATTGTAACAGACTGTAACAACTCCACAACTTCCAAGAATTGTAACAAATGTAACAACCGCAATTATAAATACAATCAGAAGAAGTAACAGAGGAGGCGTTCACACAAACTCTCTTTCTCTCTCTCTCCTCTTAGGAGGTGGTTCCTCAGTAGAACCTTGTATTAGGTAGTTCCTAACAAATTGGTATAAGCGCTTGATGCCGAGCACATGAGCAACCTCGATGGATGCCCAAGTTGACCAAGTTGAAGTCGAACTCCATCGAGTATTCGGAGACATCAGAGAATTGAAGGACACATTAGCAGCTCTGGTAAAGAAGCTTGATCAAACAAATGGTGAAGGAAACAAGGATGCTGATCCCAACGAAGGAGGGAGTCACGATAGCAGCCGACGAAGTGGTTCATGGCCAGAAAGAAACACCAGAATCACATTTCCAATCTTTTCCGGTAGCGACCCTGTTCCCTGGACCTACATGGCAGGGATTTTTTTTTGAATACAACGAAACCCCTAGCCAAGATTGAGTCTCGCCAGTGGCAATCCACCTAGAAGGAGACGCCATTCTTTGGTACCAATGGTTCTGACGACGACTACGCCCACGGTTAGCCTGGATGGATTTCACGAAAGCACTTTGCATCTGGTTTGGGGAATCAGGCTATGAGGATTATAATGAGCCTTGCCAAACTTTGACAGTTTGGGAGTGTTCGCGACTACCAAATGAAGTTCGAGTGCCTAGCTATACATGCACACGATTGGCAAGAGTGCGTGTTGGTCAGAGCCTTCGTCGGAGGGCTCGAAGAATACATCAGACTGGAAGTAAGGGCACTCCAACCAACCACCATCATGGATGCTGTTGCCCAGGCCAAGATCCAGGAAGAAAGGTTGAGCAGAACAAGGAAACTAAGCCAGCCTTTGTTACCACCCCAAAGATCGGACAACTTTCCAAGGCCTGACCAACATAGGAGCGAAGGATTCAGCCCAGTGAAAGAAGACAACATTCTAGGTAAGCCCAGAGTTATGAACACCGGCCCATCCATTCCCTTCAAGAAGCTATCGTGGGCCGAGATGCAAGCCCGTAGAGAAAAGGGTCGCTGCAATAATTGTGATGAATGATTTGGGCCGAACCACTGGTGTAAAACAATGCAGATTTACACCCTTCAAGATGACACTGAAGACAGGTCTAAAAGTGGGATACATCCCAATGAATTGCCAGAATTCAACTAGGCCGAAGAATAACAACCAGCACCGGAGATATCACTCCAAGCCCTTACCGGGTCAACTCCCTACAAACTATGAGGGTTTTAGGATGAATCAAAGGACGCTAGGTGTCCATACTAATCGACAGTGGGAGCACCTTGAATTTCATAGCGGGAGTATTGGCTCAACAACTGGGGCTACCAATCCAACCCACAACATCATTCAAGGTCCAAGTAGCAAATGAGACATCTCATCCCTGTGAAGGCATCTGTACAAGCATTGAGTTGACAATCCAAGGGCAGCCATTCGTGGTGGAGTTATACCCATTTGAGCTCAGTGGAGCTGATATAGTATTGGGGATACAGTGGCTGAGACAATTAGGGCCGATACTATGAGATTGGGCCCAGTTGTTATTGGAGTTCATGACAAATGGGACCAAGATCTGCCTCCAAGGTATACCAACTAGAGGCCCAAGTCCAATCAGCCTCTCGTCTCTCCTAAAACAAGCCCAGGAATCCACTCAAACCATCCTCTGGGAGCTCACTCAGATAGGGCCCATGCTAACCCAGGCCCGGAATGCAACCCCACAAGAAGACCATCAACAACAACTGAAAGCACTTCAACAATATGCAACAGTATTTCAGGAGCCGATAGACTTACTGCCTTCACGGGAACATGACCACTGCATTTCATTACTCTCGGGAGTGGCCCCTACAAATGTAAGACCCTATTGTTATCCTCAATTTTAGAAAAAGGAAATCAAGAAGCAAGTTAAAGAGCTATTAGAAAAACAATTCATCCAACCAAGCCATAGCCCATTCTCTTTCCCAGTCCTCTTAGTCAAAAAGAAAGATGGGACATGGCATTTTTGCATTGATTATAGAGAACTTAATAACATCACTGTCAAGGATTGGTTTCCAATCTCGGTGATTGACAAGCTCTTGGGCGAGCTCAAGGAAGCTCAAATCTTTTCCAAACTAGATTTACGGGCCAGCTATCATCAGATTAGAGTGCACACGGATGACATGTACAAGACTGCATTTCACACACATGATGGACATTATGAATTCCGGGGTCATGCCCTTTGGGCTCACAAATGCCTTGGCAACATTCCAGTCCCTCAAGCCTCATGAATGATTTATTTCGTCCATACTTACGACGATTTATACTGGTTTTATATGGTAATATCCTTAGTCTACAACCCACATGGGCCCAACACATGGAAGACCTAGAAGTCACCTTGAAGGTTCTCTTGCAAAATCAACTATATGCGAAAGCATCCAAGTGTGCTTTTGGATAGTCCCAAGTACACTACCTCGGCCATGTGGTAGAAGGAGGTGTGGTAATGGCAGACCCCGAGAAAGTAGCAAGCATCCGGTAGTGGCCCGCGCCTGCAAATGTGAAGGAACTTTGAGCTTTCTTGGGCTTGACAAGATACTATCGCCGCTTCATTAGTGGCTATGGCCTCATTGCTAGCCCACTAGCACATCTACTAAGGAAGGATGCATTCACATGGACTCCAGAAGCCCAACATGCCTTTGAAAATCTCAAAATGGCCATGTCTTCACCACCAGCATTAACATTACTTGACTTCAACCAAACATTTGTTATAGAGTGTGATGCGTCGGGCCAAGGAGTTGGAGCTGTAGTAATGCAAGAAGGGCAACCCCTTGCCTTCTTTAGTAAAGCACTCTCAGTTCAGCGGGGATCTAGCTCAGTGTACACAAGGGAGCTGATAGCCGTAGTCTTGGCGGTCTTACATTGGCGTTCCTATCTACTGGGGCGCAAGTTCATAATCAGAACTGATCATCAAAGCCACAAATTCTTACTGGGACAAAGAATTCTATCACCAGATCAGCAACGTTGGGTCTCAAAGCTCATGGGGTTCGATTATTCAATTGAATATCGACTTGGAGCAACCAACAAGGCTGCTGATGCACTGTCAAGACACCCAGAACTGCAGCAACTGTAGGTCTCTCTTCAGCCCATAGGTAAACTCTGGGACCAAATTCGGGAAGAGGCAACAACAAGTCCCTAACTGCAACAGATAAAAATAGCCTGTCACAGCGAGCTGAGCCTGATTACACGGTCAAGGGGACCTTGCTTTATCATAAAAACAGATTAGTGCTACCAGCCAACTCAGCCCATATAGGCCCATTGTTAGATTACTTCCATGCATCACCCATAGGGGGTCATTCAGGGGTACTCTGAACATACAAACGCGTTGCATCGTTCTACTGGAAGGGAATGGTGAGAACGATCCGGAAGTACATTGCAAGCTGTACAGTTTGTCAACAATGCAAATATGAGGCCCAACCTCCAGCAGGCCTGCTCCAACCGCTCCCGGTTCTCACCCATGTTTGCGAAGACATCTCGATGGATTTCATTACTGGGCTTCCAAGCTCAACAGGTAAATCAGTGATTTTGGTAGTGGTAGACCGTCTCACCAAATACAGTCATTTTATGGCATTAGCACGCCCATTCACAGCCGCAATGGTGGCTGATGTTTTTGTACAGGAGATAGCACGCCTTCATGGATTCCCCGATTTATTTTATCAGATAGGGATCCCGTGTTCCTTGGCATATTTTGGAGGGAACTATTCCGGATACAGGGCAGGAAATCAACTAGCTACCATCCTCAGTTGGATGGACAAACTAAGGTAGTCAACAGATGCTTGGAGAGTTACCTGTGTTGTTTTACAGGGTCCACACCCAAATGTTGGACCCAATGGCTCCACTGGGCTGAATGGTGGTATAACACCACCTATCATGTAGCTGCAGGCATGACACCCTTCCGTGCCTTATATGGTCGAGACCCTCCCGCCTTACTGCCTTACAAAAAGGGGTCTTCCCCTGTGGCTTCGTTGGAGGAAGCATTGACCCAACAGGATGCTACTCCACAGGAGCTCAAGCACAACCTGGACAGAGCACAACAGTGGATGAAGAATGCCTATGACAAACACCACCAAGAAGTGGAATATCAAGTGGGTGACTTTGGATATCTGTAATTGCTGCCCTACCGCTCACTATCAGTAAGACACCAATGCTGGAATAAGTTGTCTCCACACTACTTTGGGCCCTTCAAGGTTGTCGAAAGGATAGGCAAGCTTGCCTACCGCTTAGAGCTACTGGCACACTCAAAAATTCACCCGGTATTCCACATTTCAGTTCTGAAGAAGGGGCTCAAACCTAATGTAGTAAGTCAGCCCACTCTACCTGAATTTACCGAAGATATGGCCTTAGTCACAGAACCCCAGTCCATTATTGACTTTTGCTGGGTAAAGGACACCATGTGGAACCTGAAGCTCTAGTAGTATGGTCTCAATTACCCAAGGAAGATGCAACCTGGGAACCTAATATCCAACTCCACCGCCAGTTTCCTCATCTTGACCTTGAGGCCAAGGTCAATGTTGACAGGGGGGGGGGGTATTGTTAGGACAAGCAGCAATACTGAACCCAGGATGGGGTATGAGAATAGCCAGCCCAAACTCAAGACCTACAAAAGAAGGAAGCCACTTCAGCTCTCAGGTCCAAGTAATGACAGGTTGGCATAACTGAAGGCAACAAGAAGTGGGAGTTAGCTTCCAAGATTGTAACAGACTGTAACAGCCCCATAACTTCCAAGAATTGTAACAAATGTAACAACCACAGTTATACATATAATCAGAAGAAGTAACAGAGGAGGCATTCACACAAACTCTCTCTCTCTCTCTCTCTCTCTCTCTCTCTCTCTCTTTTCTCTCAGGAGGTGGTTCCTCAGTAGAACCCTGTGTTAGGCAGTTCTTAACAGAGATACAGATTGAAGCTAAGAAGTTAATCCTCAAAGAATGCAAAAGCCAGGGCCTAAATTCTTTGAAAATTAGGGAAGAGAGGAAGGTGACTTTCTTTCTGGTTGGGAAAGCTATTCAGTGGCTGAAACGATCCATTTATGGTGTGATATTTTCCATCAGAAAATAGGGTTGGAAGAGTTCCATGAGTATCTCAAGCGAAAAATATGAACTAGAGCTTCGATGAAATAGGAAAGGATGGTTTGTCACAGTTCCAGCGTTCTTCAATGGAGAAAAAACAAATGATTTGCTTGCCAGAGGGTAAGGACTTGTGTGGCTAGTAGGTAATAGCAGAAAAAATATAACACTACTTGATTCACTTGCAAAGGGAAAACATGGAGGAAGAACTGAATGAAGTGGTCATTAATGATGTTTGCTCTAAAAAGGAGGAAAAATCAATCTTGGCCGGGGATGATTCTTACTCCAGCGGAGGTCAAAACAAAAAACGGGTTGGAGATCATTTCCACTCCAAATAGAATATCGGCAATGTTGATGGAGGTGGAGAAAGGGAATGGGAGAAAAGATATATACTTCCGCAATAAGTAAGATAAGTAAAAGGACATTGGTTCTGGACTTAGTAGTGGAAAATTTTCAAATGAAGAGAGGAGATTGTTGAAACAAGTGTTTAGTGAAAGTTGTGGGGCTTCCTTTCAATTGATGGAGGGGAGAGGTAATAGAATGAATTGCTACAGTGTTAGTGGGAGTCCTAGGAGATTAGCTTCACTGATATGTTTGCAGTGAATGTTAAGTTGATTTGAGTAAAGCCAGAGTGTATTCCGTGATCTTGCGACCTGATGGTCGATGGGTGATGGAGAAAAGTCCAGATTGCAACTGGGATTGAAGTGTTGTTGTGGAAGGGAAGCTCCAAGGATGAAGATGAATATAAGGTGGCAAACTAGTTTCCACATGGTGGCAAGAGAGAGGAAGAAGGGGGAGGTGGAAAGGAGGATGGATTTAGGGAAGGGGAATAGTCTAATGGGGAGGATCAAGGAGATGGGCTAACTGAGAAGGCAAAAAATTCAAATATTTTTAAAACAAGTGAAAAAGGGCAGGAGTAATTTCTTTTGCTGAGGTGGTGAAAAAGGGAGTTAGGTCAGACCCAGGGTGGGGTCCATAGAAACAAACGAGGAAAGTGGTTTCAACCCTCTCTGAAACCAGAGGCCAAGGTAAGAAGCATACTGGGTTGAATGTGTTGAGCAACTTCAGGCCATTTGACTTTAATTAGTCATGTGAGTTGTGGCCTGGATACTTCGACTGGGGAGGATAGTAATGGTCCATCTTCTTCCCCTGAAGCTGCTACATTGAACTCCAATGCTAATCCGGGTTCAAAGAACTCCCTACAGTGGGTTCCAAGAGATATATCAGAGGTAAAAGTCTCTGGCAAGACTGTTGCAGATGCAGATTGCCCTAATCTGAGGTATACTAGGGACCGATCGGAGGAGAAAGAGGTGGAGGATGGTGGGTGGTATGATTATGACCTATTTGATGATGATGATTCTGGTTCAGATACAGGTTCGCTAATCAGCAGTTTGGTGAAGAATGATGAAGTGAAGATCTGGAAGAGACAACAACATTACTGATTTATTTGATGAGGAGGTAAATGTGGTGGGTACAACCCCTGTTCTGACTCTACCTACAATAGAAAGAGATTTTAAAGAGGCTGAGGAGAAACACTGAAGGCTTCACAAGAATACCATTGAAAAGAGTAAGCAACAAATGATTGGAAGTGGTTTGCAAGGTGGGTCAACAAGGAGTTGGAAAAGATTATAGATACAGAAGTCCAGGTTAGCAAAATGTTGGACCATTTTTTTTTTCCATATTCTGGGAGGGGAAGATTTTGCTAGAAAATGTTTTATGGAGTTGGAAAAGAAGGAATGGTTAGTGCAGATTGGGGGATTTTAGGTGGTCTCTAGATGAGGAGTGTTTGGGTCTACGGTTAGGGTGAAAATCGGGTTATAGTGTTTGTAAGGGGTTTTGGTTGTGAGGTGTTCTATTTTGTAGGTCGGACTGAGGGTTTTTTTTTTTTTCTTTTTCTTGGGGTGATATCTTATCACCTTTCTTCTCTTCTCTTTCTTTTTCTCTTATTAATATTTCCTTTTTTATTATTTTTTTTTCCAAAAAAGTTTAACCTCTTGATTGATTTGTGTTTCACTTGTAATATATTGGCCAATGAAAGTTATTTTGGTAGAAATGGCAAACCAAAAAGTGCACATTCTTTGCATAATGAAAGCTCTCTTTGTTTATCCATTTATTTGTTTTCTCTATTGGTTTAATTTATGAAAAAGTTCCCTTGTTTTTCATATAAACTGATCCCTGTCCAGCTTTACCTTCTCTATTTTGTGTCATCTTGATTGCTTGATGTTGGTTTAGAATTGGTTTCTATAAAGAAACATGACTAGATTCATTCTGATTCAGGACCAACATTTGCAACGTTTAGATACTGTTTTTTTTCACTTTAAAAAGGTACAGTATAAGCAAGGATTTCTATTCCAATTTCAGGCTACACTCAACCAGATTTAAAATTAAAATTGTGGTTAGTTCTAGTGAAAACTTGAGGTAAAAAAGACCATTACCCAATGTTGGTCACAGCTATCTGGGGGTCTTGGGAAGGATAGACTGGATATGGTCCTAAATTATTTTTGTACAAAGTAGCCACTCTCAGACAAGAATCCACATTCTCACATTTGCCAGCTCAAGATTTTACCATTACACCAAGTAATGGCCCCTTTCAAAGTACGTCAATACTGTAGTTAAACTATTCTAGTGTTTTGTCTCTTTTTCCTCATGCTATCTATATTTATCTCAAGTAGGATCCTATCGTTTACCTTTAATCTAAAGCATCCTTTTTCTCCCTTTAATATCAATGTTTTAATGATCTTGTATTCCCGATATATCTTGTTCCTGTCACTTTGGAAACTAGAACAAGATCTAAAAATTTCTAACTTGATGAAGTTTAAATCCTTGTGCAGAATATGCTTATAAGTTAATTTTCATTATGCAGTGTATTGGTGCTACTACATTAGATGAATACAGGAAGCACATTGAGAAAGATCCTGCATTGGAAAGACGATTTCAACCTGTAAAAGTTCCTGAACCTAGTGTTGATGAGACCATACAAATTTTGAAGGGGCTTCGAGAAAGATATGAGATTCACCACAAGCTACGTTATACAGATGAAGCCCTAGTAGCTGCTGCACAGCTTTCATATCAGTACATCAGGTCTGTTATTCTGGACTGCCTGATATCATTTAAGGCAGCATAGACATCTCTTTATTCCTACATGTAAATGGTGCAATTGTATACCTGATCCACCGACTTGCCTCATTTTCCAAGGGTTTTTTTGCAAGTATGTCAAACTGCAGATACCAGTCTCTGGCTTTCCTAACTTTACACAGTTAAACCTTTCTCCCCTGTTCGTCTTTTAAGAAAAAGGTCTGGTGTGTCTAAAACCACAAGTAAGTTTTATCTTGCTTTCTCTTTCCAGGTTTGGTTGATTAGTCCATTATTGAGTCAAATCATGGTCAGGTTAAGGTTTGAGCAATAACAACGTGCTGGTACATTTAACTGGGAATGACACCAAAAATCAATGTCTCCGTGGGTTGGCAGCATAAATCCTGTTTCTCCATTTGGCTTTAAGGCCATATATTTCTTAGGCTCAGTTTGGAAAGACTGCAAATACAAATATGTATGGTGCAAAAATAATCTGAGAAGTTTTCCTTAAACGATGGTTTCTCCTCCTCACTGGTTCTTTTTGAGAAGAGATAACTACTATATTCAAAGGGGGGGGGGGGGTGTACATGAGAAGATGTAAAAACAACCATCAGGATCTCACAAGTCACAACTATAATATCACCCCACGCAAGGGGGCAAACTATCAGCACCATACAAAAAATTTCTATCCACCCCAGATTTAGCTAAAAGATCTGCAATTGAGTTCAGCTCCCTTGGAACCCATCTAAAGCCGCAATGCAGAGAAGAGGTTATTTCTGAGATCTCATTGAGGAAATGTCCCAACCTCCTCACTGGTTCTTATGGTTGATTGCCTTCCTATTGTTAAGATGGTTCTTGCTTAATTCTGCGTGTTTACAGTAAAGGTAGAGCATTGCCTGAGGTCTTGTCTTTGTTGTTTGATCAATAGATCTATGTTAGGAGGGTATTGCTTGTCCATGTCTTTGAGGCTTTCTAAGCTGGAAATCTCTACAATATTAACCCTGAAATTAATTTTGAATATCATCTTCTATGTGGAATGATGAACTTGTAATTTTTTCATTGGTACTTTTGAAATGTGTAGTTGCTGTTTTTTGCATTACAACTTAATTCTGTGTGGTCTTATGATTGCAAGAAAGGAATTATTAGCAATGTTAGTCTGGAATTGTATAGTGCCTTTATAATTCCTCTCTACTGCTTGGGCTTGATTTTTTTTTTTTAAATATTTCTGAAATCTCCAGTGATCGCTTCCTTCCTGATAAAGCAATTGATTTGATTGATGAGGCTGGTTCTCGAGTTAGGCTTCGTCATGCGCAGGTATAGGTTGTTCTTATTATAGTATATAATTTCCTTTTGGATCACTTCTTCAAGTTAAACATGTTATTCTTTGCAGCTCCCTGAAGAAGCCAGAGAACTTGAAAAGGATCTGAGGCAGATCACGGAGGAGAAGAATGAAGCTGTGCGCAGCCAAGACTTCGAAAAGGTATATCTTTAGAGAAGAGTAGACGTTTATTTCTCCAGCCTTCCATACTCGTTGAGATTTTGGTGAACCGAATATGTTGACTTGCTTAACTTGGTAAATACAAAGGATTCTTTAGTTATCCTTAGTACAAAATGGCTTCCATTTTTGGTTTGCAAGCCATTTGCATCTAGTAGGCTTATAATGCAGAATACTTGACAGGCTGGGGAGTTGCAGGATCGGGAAATGGACCTCAAAACCCAAATGGCAAACCTTATAAACAAAAGCAAAGAGAGAAGCGAGGCAGAGAGCGAAGCAGGTGAGGAAGGCCCTGTTGTGACAGAATCAGATATCCAGCATATTGTTTCTTCTTGGACGGGCATCCCTGTTGAGAAAGTATCTTGCGATGAATCAGATCGCCTCCTCAAGATGGAAGAAACACTTCACAAAAGGGTAATAGGTCAGGATGAAGCTATAAAAGCCATTAGCCGTGCCATTCGTCGTGCCCGTGTTGGGCTCAAAAACCCCAACCGACCAATTGCTAGCTTCATTTTTTCTGGTCCAACTGGTGTAGGGAAATCAGAACTGGCCAAGGCACTGGCTGCATACTACTTTGGGTCTGAGGAAGCTATGATTCGGCTTGATATGAGTGAGTTCATGGAGAGGCACACCGTCTCTAAGCTCATTGGATCACCCCCTGGCTATGTTGGCTACACCGAAGGTGGTCAGTTGACTGAAGCGGTTCGTCGTCGGCCCTACACAGTGGTCCTTTTCGATGAGATAGAGAAGGCACACCCTGATGTCTTTAACATGATGCTTCAGATTCTTGAAGATGGAAGGTTGACAGACAGCAAGGGCCGAACTGTGGATTTCAAGAATACCCTCCTGATAATGACTTCGAATGTTGGAAGCAGTGTGATTGAGAAGGGAGGTCGCCGTATTGGTTTTGATATTGATTATGATGAGAAGGACAACAGCTACAACCGGATAAAGAGCTTGGTAACAGAGGAGCTGAAGCAATACTTCAGGCCAGAATTCCTGAATCGATTGGATGAGACGATTGTATTCCGGCAGCTCACAAAACTGGAGGTGAAGGAAATTGCCGACATAATGCTGAAGGAAGTGTTCGATAGGCTAAAGGTTAAGGATATAGAGCTTCAGGTGACGGAGAGATTCAAAGACAGGGTGGTTGAGGAAGGGTACAACCCAAGCTATGGTGCAAGGCCGTTGAGAAGAGCGATAATGAGGCTTTTGGAGGATAGCGTGGCTGAGAAGATGCTAGCAGGAGAGATCAAGGAGGGGGACTCTGTCATCGTAGATGTTGATTCAGATGGGAACGTGACTGTGCTCAATGGTAGCCGTGGTAATCCGGAGCCATTGCCTGTGTAGTCAACTCTTCTCACATCACGCCAACAATGTGAATACTTTTGCCATGAAAAGGTTTTTAGTAGTTTTTTTCTTTAGTTCGATAGTCTAGGTTTTCATTGGTTATGGACATATAGCTTCCTTGTTCTAAAGAGTTCTGATGATGGTTGAGTGCCGATTAGTGGGTGGCTGGATTGGGTTCCGAGGTTGTATTATTTATATACATCATGCTGTGCGTGCTATTTTTTTAAGCATTCGCGGGAGATATTCTTTTTAATTAAAGCTTTTCATTGTAAGAGAGACTACATTAGATGCTGAGAGTTTTCAGCTTGATATTTGCATTTTATACCTAGTATCAAGGCTTTATAAGCTAATTCTATATCTAGCCACATATAAGATTTGGAATTTATTTGGACTTAGGCCGTGCCAGTCCAGCATGATTCAGGCCTTGCCAGGCCCAGCCCAGTCACTGTAGCAAGTGAGCCGTTCTAGACTTGGGCCAAACCCTTGTGCTGGGCTTGTGTTTTGAGGCCCACGGATGGTGGCATGACACTACACTGCTCACATATATTAATATATTATTTATGTATTTAATAATATGTTTATATCATGGTTTTTGAACTGTCGTTGACTCATATGGTCGGACTGTTCAGCCCCGGAAATCGTCCAGACAATCGGTTCCGTTTCACCCTTAACTCGTATTTTGGCAAAAATCGTTGACTTGGTTAGCAATCTGCTAATTTGGGTGGTCGAACCATTAACCCGTTTGACCTGGATAATATTTTTTGGCTGTTTTTTATTTTAATTATTTTTATTTTTAAATTAGAGTGAGCTGTTTGTTTGAACTGGATGGTTGAATTGTTGACCTAAAAACCGGTGGCCAGAGCAATTTTGATTTCAGGTTGGTTTTTAAAACATTTGTGTATATGTATATAATTTTTATTTTCAATTTTATTTTATTATTTCATATGTAAACAACTGGAGTGTCTATATCAAAATTCATATGGAATAAGATTTTAAGATTTTTTTTTATCAATTTCTTGTTTATCTTATTAATTTATTTTAACTTTATTATTATTATTATTATTTTCAAATTTTCTAAAAAAAATTGTGCCACCCATGGCCCGGCCCGGCATGGCACGGCCCACTACAGTACAGGTGGCCAGAAAACCTGTTTTACACGTCTAAATATTAGCCAGTGAAAAATTTCAGCTGGACAGGACGGGTAAATGCACCGAATACTAATTTCACAATAAATAATACATGCGTTCTTTTAATCGGATGGAAGAAACTCAAAAGATATCCCTTAATAAAAAAAAAAAAATCTGATGCAAAGAGGACGCATCACGAATGAAGACCATACAATACTATATCAGGACATCACCATCAGTTCAGTTATTTCAAAGATGGCTATGCATGAGCCATGATCCTACAGTATTCAGTAGAGAAGCCATGACACTCCCCAATATTAGCCTACTTGATTAAAATCCGTTAATGCAAATGAATGGCAAACTGATGGTTTAATCTGAATTCCCTCTCTTACTACTGCATGGTACCTAGGCAGGGGCCAGGATGTGAAGATTAGTTTATCTCCTGAGGGTACTACTGACTATATCCATTGGTGCAACTCATACTAGTTCTTGGTTAGTCTCATGCATCTGGTAACACTTCCCAAAGATTGAAGGACATCAACATTATGGATTGCAACCATCACTGATTGAATGAGAATGCTTCTGAATTGGGCTGATGCTCACGCTGCGGCTCATCTTAAATACATTAACAGCCTTATGTATTTCCTTGGTCATGGCACTATCCGCGCTCCTCGATGAGAGTTTCTTATGTGACTTCTGCAAATGAAGCCTGAGAGAGGTGCCGCTCAGCCCTACATTCCTTCCACAGATTGAACAAACTTTCATTATTGGCTTTCTTTGCTGCCACTCCATGGAAACCTTTCCGTGCAATTTCCTGTCAAGTTCCATAAGGATCCTTGCAAACCCATCATTGGGTTGTGCTCGGCGATGAGCTTTTTTTAGGAGATTCCATGCGTCTAATAAAGTGAAGTTCCTGTATAATCAAAAGTTTTATAGAATGAGACTTTTCTTTTCAGGAAAGTGATAAACACACGTATTCAATGACAGAAAAATTTGTGTTTTTTCCATGATAACTAAATAGTTGAATGACTAAGAAATATATAACACTATGCCATCACTACAGAATTTCCTGAAAGCAAAAAAGCATGTGAACATGCTGAGAGCATGGCATCCAGCTGCATATCCGAAACACTTCCCATGAATTTAACATACAAGAATGGGAGATAATCCTAATGTGTGGCTGGATGCCGTACTCTCAGAGTGCTCGCTCAGGAGATCCGGGCTCCCAAGACGGAAGATTGACCGAGGCAATTTTGTCATTTCTAAGGGAGGGAGCTAAGAGATCATTTCAGATAATGATAGCCACCAATTGGTAACTACTCCCCTGTAAAAATATCATACGTGGTGGTTTTGCACTAGACATAAACAACTACCCTGCAACTTACTTCTTTAGCATCAAGTAAGCAAGAACCACTGTGGCACTTCTACTTCTCCCTTCAAAACAATGAATGAGAACCCTCCCACCTATGTCTTCCACATAATCAATAAAATCAGAAGCTTCTTCGAAAATTTTACTGATGTTAGAATCCTCATCATCACATACCTGTGGAAATGCAGCGGTTTGCTTTATCAATAGCATGAAATACACAAATAGATCGGCTGCAGTTGGCAAGTCAAAGTGCCAATAAGAGGTAATGAAAGCCATAACAATCAATGAAGCATAATGAATACCATATAAATGGTTTAATGCCAAAGTTTGAATAGAAATTGCACATTAATTGGATCAAGAAATGCTACAAATACAAGTCCAAGAATTTGATTAAATTGAACTCTCATGTGGCATCTTCCCGGAGAACTGGAGTCTAAGTTTTAATTAGGGTATTTAAAGGGGGCTCAAAGAAACGAGAAACTGACAAGGAACAGGAAACTCCTATAGAAATGAGCCCAAAAATGTTCCTGCAAAGTTAAATGAACAGCTTATAATCTCCTAAGGAGTTGAAAACATCAGCAAAACATCATGAATGTCTACAAGGGTGGTTGACACTAAAATTTGAATTGAAAGTAATTAATTGGATGAAAAATGCACAATGTATGATTACAATTCTTTCATATTAATCAATAAAGAATGTTGCAATTAAGGGTCCAAGACTCTGATTAAGCAGAATTCTCACACAGCAAATTCAATCTTATGGTTTTCAAGTAGGAAGGAGTTCCGGGATGTCTTTATGGATTCTATCCTTGGAATCTAGCAGGCAATTATTGGATATGCACAGAAAAGAAGGCTATGCTCTAGTGAATCCTGGTCATTGTGGAATAGGGTGAACTTTCAGAAATATGATGATCTCATTCTTATGAGCTGCTTGGGGACAGTTTAGGAAGGAAATTTCTCAAGGGCAGAATCACTTGCTGTGATAAAAAAAATAGTAGAATTATTTGCTATCTATAAAGCCTAAAGCTTGCTTTGATAAATTGGATGGCATGTTCAGATGACAGTTTCTGACCTCTTAGATTCTTCCTTAGATAGGCAAGGGCCCTAACATCCTCCTTGAACATCTTGTTCAGGTGGACTCCTAGATCTGCTAATGCTTTGGTTGACTTTTACATAGAGGAACTTCAATACTGGTCATAGCTACCAAAAAACAAAAACACAAAACCCATTCATTTGTTCTTTTTTTTTTTCCTTTTTGAAAAATCCTGTTGTGAATATGATGAGATTAATATATAGCAATCTCAAAGAGCGAAAGACCAACAATAAGAGAAGAAATGAAGGGATAAGCACCCACAGAGAAATTCTTGTACACGAAAAGATCAGGATACTGAGAATCTGATTGACCAATTTCGTTTGAACACAAGCACAGAATATGTGTGATGCCCAAATACTGAAGTGTGTAAATGGATTTTGCAGCAAGGGCCCCACCAATGAACATACTACTTGTGATTGAAGATGGCTTCTCTGTATTTGCAGCATCAGATATCATGGCAATCCTCTCAAGAATATGCTCAAGACGGACCTGCAAGAAACCCAAATTTTAATATCATTTTTTTTTTGTTTGAGTCCAAGTATATTCAGACTGAAAAAGTGGAGATTATTACCTTTAATTCATATGCATCAACAACACTATTGGTATCACTCCCCTCAAAAAATCCTGTAATGAAATTATTCTCTTGACACAGTTTAATAGCATCTGACCTAATCATTTCATTCCATTGTTCCAATTCTCTGTTTAGTTCAGCATCCAACTGGATAGACCAAAAAAGATGGGATAGACCCCAGGTGTTAGTGAAAGACTCTTTTTGAAGGACAAAAGCACTGATAAATAGTAAAGCATGAAAAATACAAACTTCCAAGTTCTAATGCAGGTAAACTACTACAATTTTCACAATGAGCTCATTGATGCTCTTTTACTACAACCATATTTTTGGAACTAATATCTCTGTTAAGGTAGTGAAGAAACCCATGGTACGTACTGTCATCAAATAAAAGAATGCATATAACAGACAAGTTAAGGGTGGGGGGTCCACCATTCAATGAAACACACCTAGAAGATCTCCTTCCACGGATTGATACCATTTGGATGATTGCACAACTTATTAATAGAAGATATTAGATGCTTCCAATCATCCACTAAGGTCAACCTTAAAATAGAGTTCTAACTTCTAAATTTGCTCCATATGATTGACTCCTCGTATGATGCCACTTTTTATTAGCAAATAGATTAGTTTCTAATTGAACTTTTTTGATAAATTTTATATATTTCTGCATTTGGACATTATGGGGATATTATGGTCATTTTGTAAATTCTGTGGGGTTCAACTGGGTAGTTTGTTTTGTTTAGACATAGTTGAGATGTGTTTAGAATAATATTTTTCATTGGTTAAAGAGTTTAGGAGCTATTTACTTTCGAGTTCTTAGCTTTGGAAAGGAGTATGGTGGACACCCTAAATAGTCTAAAGTTTCTAAACTGTAGAATAAATGTAGGTCCTATTGAATGATGTTGGGTTCTCTCTCTTTTTTCTCTAAATCTAATTCTTCAAGCAGCCATTATAGATATCAACAATTCACAAGTTCTTCATCAATGAGAGCTCATTCTTATTCCTAAATAACGGAAATTAATCTAGGTATATCATTCTTCAATACTTTTAGGACAAATAACATTCCAATGCCTCCAATAGTAAGTCTCCCCCAATCTCCCATATCAATCATCTTTTATCTTACAGAATTTTATTCCAAAATTTCATTTAAAGCCCTAACTTTTTAGAATGTAATATTATTTCTCTTATGAAGTGAAACTTTCTTTCTTTTGTGGAAAGCTTGTTCAAAATACATTCCATCATCCTAACATCTTTACTGAGTTTCACTAAAGAAAGATTCCACTTGTACATTTAGTTTCTGAATCTTCTATTTTCCATGGTCCCAAGGAGAATTTGCAATTCTTAATTCTTTGATCTAAAACCTTACCAACCTCTTTCAATCCTTAACTTTTAACCTACAATGATTCATAAACCCTATCTTATCCAATCAATCTATCCTATACTCATCCTTGGAAATATTAGTCTTACAATCAACTTGGTATCATAACAGTCAACCATACATCACATTGATTGGTGAAACAATATCTGTAACAGCAGAGGCTGACATGAAAGAATGTCATTATGGTTTACCTGATGGGGTATCAGTTTTTTATAATTTAAAGACAAGTCGAAAATCAGAGGAAGATTATTTTTGCTTTCTTTTTCAAAAGTTAGTTGAAAGGTTCAGTTTGCAGATGCTATTTTTCTCCTATGGTATCACAGACCTTGGCAAATTTGTTGAAGTCACGAAGTTTTGCTAACAGAAGGCTTCTTTGGGACTCTCCTCTGCCTCTACACTTTCCATGCCAACCTTCTCTTGAGATGGGAAAAGCTTGGTCAGGATTTTCTTTGTATCCTGAAGTTGGTGTCCTCGGGGCTGTTCGCCGCAATTCTGAATCACTCAACTCTGTATGTGTCTCATTTATACACCGTTCTTTACTAACAGGGGAAAAACAGTGAACACCGACTCCAATTGCATGTGTGGGTGACTCAGAAACCCCTATATCCTCCTTGTCAAAATCCCCTGATAAAAATTTATCTGTGACAGACAGAAAAGCTCGTAACAGGATATCCAGTTTCTGATGAAGTGTGAGAAGAAAAATATGAAAGCCTTGCAAGTCCCTGAGAGCAGCACGGAACCCGCTTCGGAATTCATGGACAAATGTAGCCATATCAAATAAAGACGAATTAACTTGTGTATCAGCCTCTTCTGGTAAGGAAAACCCCAGTTTTCCACCTGTTATTTCATATAAAAGGCTAGAGGAGTACTCAGCACTATTGAGAATAAGTTCAACCAACTTAGGATAATTTGTTTGGTCGTTGGTGCGTTTTCCAACAGGTGGTCGGCGAGGAATGCCAGTGTCAATCACCACAACATGACAGTTACTGAACTTTGCATCTTCGTATCTTAGGCTCTTAAGGCTTATGCTACTGGATCTGGGAGAATCCATGAAGTCAGAAACATCTGAGCTCTGAGATATCAGTTCAGGGTTATGAGAGCTTAGTTTCATATTTGCAGAGTTGACCCTTCTTTCCTTTTGAAGTGTCATAATTGTTCTTGGCCTATATCGTCGTGCCATAGGATCAAAAGCCTCTTCCACTGAATCCACATCTACAGGGGGTGCCTTATCAGAAAAAAGTAGATTTGTGGAATTTCCCCGCCAACCAAGCTGACGGCAAGGAAGCCTGTCTTCGTTTCTGATGACAAGGTCCAACACCAATATCCTGCCAAGAGCTGCTGCTGTTTTTCCAGCAGATTCCCTTGGCTCAAATGCATTCAAGCTTTCCAGCAAAGGAGATCCATGAATATAGCTGCAAAAATTAATCAAAGCTATTGTCTGTAAGTTACTGATAAAGAATGAGATATTCTATAATCACTATAAACAGCAGTTTATCGTGTCTTTTAAGTTTTGCAGTACTTCCTACCCCAATCAGCCCATGTCATGTGGCTATGGAGATTGGAATAGTCACTAAAAGGACCTTTACCCAATGTTGTTCCTATCCTGGCTATGCAGGGTCTTGGGAAGAGTTTAGTGGATAGGTGGCCCCCTTTATTTTTATTTATTTATTTTTTATTTTTTTGACTTTCGTTATCCAACTGGTTTACATGCAGAAGGTTGAATTGTGAGAGAGATTTCCAACCCTAAATATCAGTCTATATTCATGAAACTAGCAATCTTAATGGACCAAAATTCCATGCTCCCATTCCAGTTTCTTCCACATGATGCCTATGCAGGAGGTTGAACCATTCAGTAATTTTATCCGACATAGGGTTGTAGATGACACCAACAATTTGAAGAAGATGGAATTTAGGCTAATAACCAGGTTAAGAAATTGCAAATTACTGAATGCTTATCCACCTTCCATGCATATCAACTAAATGTGTTGCACATGAGGAAGGAAGCAATAATTCTTTAATTTGCTGCATTATCAAATAAAGCCTTGTCTATTATAAGGTCAGGTTCTGTTTGCACTTCATCAAAAGAAGGCAGCGGCTCAATTCGAGAGCCTCCAACAACTCTGAACACGTCACTTCACCAACTTCGTCATTCTCTGAAATTGCTGCATCTTTTGCTTTTTCTGCAGCTTCTTTGATCTGTTGCCATTCTGGGCTAGAATTGTGAATGACCCTAGCCTGCAATATCCCAATAATGTGTTTTGGAATAGAGTTAGATCCATGATCCAATGCGGTAGTGTATCAAAGAAGTGCTTAAGTAGATAACAGAACTTGTGGAATTCGAACTCCTAGACATTTTGCAAATTCATAACCTAGTCGCTCTGATTGTGTAGCCATCCTCGAAGAGCCTATCTTTATTACAGCTGCTGCTTCTTTTATGGAGTCATCATTTCCAGGTCTGCTGAATAGGGCAAAGAAAACAACACCCCCAGAATTCACAGTGACCTGCATCCACCCAATTGAAGATAAGGGGAGGCTAGAAAAGAAAATTAATTCTCTGATGGGGTGGGTGGTGGGGAGGTTAGATTTCAGACACACATAATGATTAAGGCCAGGTTAGGTCGCATTGATGTCAACCCTAACTCAACCAAAGCTATGGAATGGGTTTGCCCAATTTTTCTACTTCCTTTTGCCAAATGTTCTTATTTCCTAACTAAAGGGTTGAGTTCAATTCATTTATATATTGCCAAATGTTCATGAAGTTAAATTGGATTCAGGTTGGATTGGGTTGACCAAACCCTAACTCAGCCAGAAGTCAAGTCTGATTCCTATGACCATAGCCTGAACTTTAACCCAAATTTTTTGGGTTGGGTTTGGCTGACCCAGCCAAGATGAAGCCCTAATAATGATGGCAAACATATAAAATTGATAAATATAAACTGTAGACAAAGTACTGGGTCAAATTCCTGCATTCTCTCTAGAACTGATTTTCTTCTTGTGTGAGGTTAAATCCTTACAAATACAAATTATGCAGATTATAAATTTTACAAATATAACAAAACACCGATAATGTTGCAACCCGGTCTTGGTCAATTCAGCACATTCTTGGACTCTCTCAGCTAGTCTTTGTCATATGTATATGTTAGCAGTTTATTTCCGAAAGAATAAACTGTGACAGAAAGTCTTGCTTATTTTCTTCTGGCAAAAAGCCCAACTTTACTCTCTTTTCACAGCCCCACCTTATGTATTATCAATAATATGAGTTGGTGAGTGGCCAGTGGATGGTTAAGCGGACACTAAGTTGGATATTGTTATAAGTGACAAAGATTTAAGTATGCTTGTCTGAACGTATAGGTTTGGGGAACTAATGGTTATTAGTTTAGTGCCAACTGCAAAGTCCAACTCACTGTTTACATACCTGCCCTAGCTCACTAAGAATGGGGACATAGTAAGTGAATGATATGTTTGGTGTTGAAATTCAAGTGTCGCGCAATTTGGTAGCACAGAGTCTTGATGACATGGACATGGATCATGTGTCAGGTGCTGAGTAGTCATGCATACCACATTAGATAAGGGAACCTCAATGCTCGGGTCCCATCCCTAAGCCCCAAAAAATGCAACATGATTTTTGTGGTACCAATTGCATGTAGTATCTAATTATGCAAGTACCAAAAGTTGATGAGGAAGGATGACCTTATTGAGTCGTAGGCACATAAATTGAATTCTTCATCATCATCCAAGCCTTATCCCAACTATATGGGGTCGGCTGCATGCATCCTGTTTCATCAATCTATTCTGTTTAATGCCATATCCATTGTTAAATTATTGGCGCTTAATTTATTTCTTATTACTTTCTACTTATGTCCTTTTATGTCTATCCCTTTCCCTTCTATCCCCTTCAACTTGTAACAAATCACACCTTCTTATAGGTGTTGTCATGGTCTTCTATGCATATGACCAAATCAACTTAGTATACTTTCTCTCATTTTTATCACCTATTTGAAGCCACTACTAAGTTCCTACTAATGACTTCACTTCTGTTCTTAACTTTTCTAGTGTTTCCACTCATCCATCTCAGCATACATATTTCTACCATACTCATTGTTTGGACATGTTTCTTACAGCTGTTTTGCAGAATTTTCCTTTTAAGACCCAAATTGAACTCCATTCAAGTGATTCTCAAGTAGAGAATCGCCCCATTCCTTTGCATATTCATGTTCTGAGTTTGACTAGGCAAAGAACCCTCTCAAATATTCCTTCTCTGGCAGGTAGAATTCTTGAAATGAAATGATGATGGATGGGGTCTCATGTTTCATGTAAAGACTAAGATAACAAGATTTGGTCCATCAACAATGCATCTAACTTCAACTTGATGAGAATCCTTGTATTGAAGTGTAAAAAAGCTGATAAAAAAATATTCCTGCTCTGGCATCAAGGAACGAAGAAGTAAGTCTATCTGGCAACTTGATGAGAATCCTTAAATTCTATCATGGCTAATTCGAAGAAGTAAGTCTCTCAACCTGTGTAGTTAGTTTCTTTTTTTTTCAATTAATTTTTTGTTATTTAGTATTTTTTTTCATCATATTTGTTGATATTTTGAGTTTGGGTTGATTGAGATTCCAAATCTTGGGAAGATTCTCTTCAAGCTTCTTGCAATTTTAGGATTAGAGGGAGAGAGATGAGGGCTTTAGTGAAATTAGTACCTAATTTCTAATAACATTCTCTCAAAACTGAGATTAAGAGATGTTAGAAGAAATTCTTCACAAGATTTTGGAATTTCATCTCTTTCGGATTTAAATTTTAAGCCTAGATAAACCTAAGGTTGAGCTGCCATTTGCAGCCGGGGGTATTCATAGCCACAATTCTAGAACCACATTGTCAGTAGTCTCACTATGTGTACTGATCAAGTACACCAACCTGCAGGTCACACTATTAGTGCAATACAATAGGCCATAAAAGCTCATTAGACATTGTTGAAAGGCCAAAGCTATTATGTTCTAGATAAAATCTCAGTTAGTTAAACATCCTGCATTCTCTAGAACTGATTTTCTTCTTGTATGAAATTTACAGCCCCTCTAGCAAGTGGATCTTGGGGTCCAGTCAAACAAGGGGTTCAGCATTTTTGCTTTGAGCATTTTCAATGGATAATTAAAGTGAGATGGTGCAGAATTTAATTAATTCTCTTATCACTCTCTTGCAGGTGCTCCAATGCCACACAACTGTGAATTCATCCAAACTTTTGGGTTGATAAGATCCAATTAGGAAATTGACAGAACTACCCCTCCCATTTTTTTGGGAGAGAGAGAGACCTAACAACCCAATGAACAAGTTTTCAAAATGTAAAAGAAAACGTAGTTGTATTAAGCTAAAGGTCCAAAAAATGGAAATCCAGAATGCTCCCCAGATTGAAAATGCAGTGCACAGAGGGAACAAGTGACTGTACATGGTGAAATGTAAAAAGACTAAAATCTGGGAAAAAATAGTTGTGCTCTTCAAAAAATAATAATAAAAAAAAATCACATACCTCAAGAGCTCTATTTGTTTCATCTTCAGAATGTTCAGTGCTACTACTATGTTCAGTATGGTGTAGTGAAGAAAGCATATCCCAAGAAAATTCACTTGATTCAATGTCCAACATGGCAGCTGCCCCAAGTCTTTCCCACAAGCTGATATCTGGAGGTTGATCAGAGGGCAACAAACTTTTTGACTCCAAAATTAGTTCCCCTGCACTATAATGAAATGCAATGATCTACAGGAGAGAAAATTCATTTAAAGAGGCAACAATCAGGAAAGGACATGGGTAGGGGTGGCAATTTTTCACTCAACCCGCTGAACCCACCCAATCCACTCATTATCTAATCCATCCAACCCGCTCATTTACTTGGCGGGTTGCGTGATCAATCCGTCACCCAATCCGTTCATTTAAATGGGTTGGATTGGATTGGGTTGTAGATAACCGTTAGGTTAACCATTACAAACATCAGTATTAATTTTTTAGCATTTTTTTTTATTTTCTTCATTTGAATTAAATAATTTATAATTAATGCATTAATTTTCTATTAATTATTGATTAAATTTAGTTTTGTCTTAAATCAACACACTTCACCCAACATAAATCCAAATCAATTTGACCCAAGCCTGGACCAATTCAATGCGGTTTGACCCGATCCAACATATACCGATCCGGGGCGACCTGAATCCGAAATAGACCTCGGACGGGATGGCTCGGTACTTCTTGCTTTACCTGGTTTGGATCGTCCGATCTAACCATTATTCAAACAACCCGGCCCGACCCAGCACAAGTTGATTCGGGTCGACCCGAATCCAAAATGGGTCAGACCAGGTGGGTCTGTACCCTAAACCACCCTGCTTGCTTTGCTTGGTTTGGATCATCCAGTTTGGTTCATATCCGTACAACCCGAACCGAATCTGGCCCGGTCCAATTTACTTCTTTTGACCTGCTTCGGGCCAATCGGTTTGGCCCCAAACCCGTGAACAAACCTGATATGAGCCGACCCAAGTCAATCCACCATTCACTGAATTGGTCCAGTCTGATACAATCGGTTTCGGGCGGGGTCTAGTCCGACTGGACTGATCTAGATCTAAACAGTTCAACCACTCTTGAACTTGATGTGATTACCTCGAAGACAATCCAATTAGATAGTTCAAGTTGGTCTGACCAGTTTGAACCTATGTGGTTTGTCAAATCTGAAACCTGAACATAGTTAAATAGCTTTACTGCTTGTATAAAAATAACATGCATGTAATGTGATTTAAACTTTTACCACTTGTGTAAATAACAACTACTATTACCACTAAGCTATGACTAACTTATTTGTTAAAAAGGAGTTAGTTTTTTGTTTCAAGTATATAAATATAAGATTAATGGGTTTGGACGGGTTAAATTGGGTTAAAGCAGGTTTGGATTAAACCCAACCTCTTTAATTTTATATAATTGGGTCATTAACGAGTTGACGGGTTAAATGAATTAGGTTAAAACTCAACCCAAACCCATCCCAACCCAACCCATGGGACATACATGCTAATTATCAACTACTGATCGATCGCTTATCAACAGCTAGCGCAAAAAAGACAATGGGATTTAGATAGCCATTAAACTATAGAATATAGTACATATAGCTCTACGTAGAGATAGAGGCAACAATCAGGATGCACCGGTATAACCTATGCTGATAAAAACTTTGATTTTGGGTGGCCATCATACTTTGTTTGAAAAGTGTAGACAACAAACCCCTGACACGGCGATCCAGAGTTCTTCTTCACCAGGGGAAGCCAAACATCCTTTTTCCTGATGAGCTTTGGAAAACGTTGGCCTTGCTGGCAACATCACCAGAAGAAACTCCCCCCTGGGTGGATGTTGTTGCAATGAGCATGGGAAATGGCAAGAGGAAAGCGAGTAAACTTTTGAACGTTGAAAGCTAAGGAAAGAAGATAAGGGTAGAATTGTCTTTTTCATCAATGTTTTTTTTTTTTTTTTTTTGTCCAGTGACACAAGAAAAAATATGTATTGTTTTCACTTGGGAATTTCACAAGAGAGTCTCTTTTGTCTCTGCATTCTGCATTTGATGATTAAGGCTTTGTGTCTATCAAATTGTTCTAAGTGGTGTTGAATGGTAGGAAAGGCGTGGTTGACTAAGATACCGGTAATTGATTCTTGGGTGAAAATGTTGGGGCCTCACAACAACTACCCACCCATAGTATATAATAATAAGGTATTTGAAATAACAAGTACGAGAAATCTAATAGTAGCAAAAAAGATAAAATCCAAACAAAGACAAATAAAACAAGCACCACGAAGAATACAAAGATTTACGTGGTTCAGCCTTACTGTCTACGTCCACGGGAGAGATTAAATCTGTTCTTCACTATAAAAGAAAACTGAGAACAATACAAGTACCTTGCGGCTTGCAGTCCAAACCAACCCTTACCCTTGTACACCCGTTCTCCCTTTCCTCTCAAATAGAAGAACAAAAACAAGAGAAAAAACCCACTTTCACACCAAGAGCACTCTATATTTTTCTCTCACACCTTTTCTCCCAAAAAACCTTAACCCTACATACAAAAGAAAGTTTTTATATGTAAAACCTTTTTAACCTAAAGAGAGACCACACCAATCGTTAGATTAAAATTAATCTAGCGGTTGTAAAATAAGACACAATCCCAACAAAAAAATCATAGTTCTCTGTCCAAGAGAAACTGGCGTACTTGCTAGTCTCCTCCACAACACCGATGAGAGCTTAGTTGGATATTTAGCTAGGTTTCTATCTATGTTGTGACCCAGAAACTGCAAGTTTTTACTCGTTATCTCTTCATTTTGATTACAATGACTTCTATTGGAATCTAAATTATATATAGGAGCTCTCGGTATGATAGAATTGGTCTGGCCGGAATCTTATGATCTTCTGATTAAGCATTGCAAAGAAGAGAAAGAGAGACAACATTGGCATTTGGCATGTGACGGAGAGAGAGAGAGAGAGAGAGAGAGAGAGAGAAGAGAGGCTCAGGTTGGATGCCTCTATTTTTAATTTTATTCCCAACGATTTTATCAATGGTAAAATATAAAAAACCTCTCTTGAAGTTTCTGACAACCATAAAAATCTCTCTTATAGTTTCATTTTAGCAAAAACCTCCCCTAAATTTTTAAATAAATAAAAAAACCTCTCTTTTGTCAATCACCAAGAAGGAAAACATTCAACCAAAGAATCAAAAATTTTCAAATGCCTATTTTACCCTTTTGCAAATTAATTTGCATCGATTTTTACTAAAATACCAATGTCGATCTCTTTACCCAACCTTTTTCCCCATCCCACTTTATCCAATCTTATAATTTCTCTTACTGTGTTTTCATTTTAGGGTAAATTTCTTTAATTAGTCCTATGGTTTAGTGAATTGACTAAGTGTACTCTTATTGTTTGAAAATTGACTAACGCTACCCCTTATAGAAGGATTAAAAAGACTATTTTGCCCATCATTCTTCTTTAAATTTTCAAAATAAAACTTTTGACACCTTTCTCAGATTGCTGAGGCTTATCCTCTCAGAAAATTTTAGACGATTGATCAGTACCAAAAAAATCATTAGAATAATCTTTGACTAAGATGAGTTTGGGGCCGATTTCAGTCCTTTTGGTTCGAACAGATGATGCTAACAAGCATATAGGACCAAAAAACCCAAATTTATTTTCATTTTCTCAGACTCAGATCTCAAATCTACAATCCATGTTCCAGATATGCAACTAGAGATGGCACCAAGAAAACTAATGGGTTTTGAAGATGCTCTTGTTTTGACAGGCACTGATGAGAGAACCCAATTCATTCTTGGATCCTCGAGTGTAAACCGTTGGGATCCTCTATTCTTACATCCTTTCTTTAAGTTCGGAGACCATCGGAAGTTGGAACAAGGTCAAGGTTCTTCCTCCAATCTGGACTGAATTTCTCTCCACTACACATAGAGCCTCCAGTTTTGAATCTAGCATAACAGAGGTCGACCCCCTTGAATCAACCTAATATCCGACACTGATTTACAGTTCCAAATCCAAGACACTGAGCCTTTAGTAGCACCATCTCATCGCCGCTGCGTTCTCTTTGGCAACCATTAATAGCCAACCATTGCATTCTCGTCATCCTCCATGACGAGGGCATTGTAGATGCCCACAAGTTAGTGATAGAGTGTGTCATAGATGGCACGGTTGGTGGACGAGTGTGCGAAGCTACCTCTGTGGAAGAAAATTATGATGGGGACGACTTCTGTATTCAGGGGACGCTCAAGCTCCATGATACTTGACTAAGTTTGAGCTTCATCAGTTGGGGCTGGCTGGTATATCCAGTTGAGGAGGCTAGTTGTGCGGTCCACTATGACATCGAAAGAGAACACTCCATCGACGGGGGTGTGTTGGTAGTGACTTTCTGGTCAAGGAAATCCACCAGGTGGCAGTTGAACGTACCATTTGGTTGGTGGAGGAGATTATAGGCCACTTGAAATTGGAGATGAGGAATTGATACAGCTAAATCCCTGAAACCTTAAGTGAGAAATCGACCGATTAGGGTTATCAACTAGTTGAATTCTTTGCTGCCCCAACTCGTATTGTTCAAATTCATACAGAAGAGAACCATCAATACCTACCGAATGAACAAATAAATTGGATAGATAAGATGCCTCAGACTTGCAGATATGACGCCCATTGCAAGATGTGAAACCCTAATTTCGCCCCCTTTTTTTTCCCTCCCTTTCTTTCTTTGAGGCTTGGTGTTTGTTGGAAGTGCATGTTCGTTCTTTTGTTTTTTCCATCTTCTTTTATTTGTTTTTTCTTTTTCTTTTTTCACGTTTCACCCAGGGGTAAGAGAGAGAAAAATGAATAGCCAACCGGTTATTGGGGTGAACTGGTGTAGACAGAGGTCAAAAGGTTTTTTTTAGGAATGGAGGAGGAAAGGGTGTTTTCAAAATTTTTTATAAATATATTAGTCACATGATATCATATGTAACGGAAAGTTAATGGATGTTAACGGTAAGGATAGACTTAGTCAATTGTTAGAAACAGTAGGGGTAGCATTAGTCAGTTTTAAAACAATAAGGGTACACTTAGTCAATTAGCTAAACCATAAGGGTAATTTAAGAAATTTACCCTTCATTTTCTTTACAAGCAAAGTAAATAGAGTTGTTTAAAGGGCCAAACTCTCGATAAAAGAAGAGGAAGCAATAGCAGTATCAGAGAAGAGAAGATAAGAAAGAAAGCAAGCAAGAAAAAAAAACGCTTCGATTCCATTTCGCAGTGAATTGATCAACAAACATGGAAGAAGGAAAGAGAATGATGCATTGTCTTATGATTGATCTAGAGGCTCCTTCAACAGGGCTACTCTATTTGCACCACTGTTCGAATTTGATGTAGGCGCTCGTGGTCCAGTCCAATAGGAGGCTAGCATGCATTAGGCGGCGGCATCTAGAATGGACCCAATCAGTGTGCGGGCGCAACAGTGCTCGGCGGGCTCTCTGGGACCAATGGCGCGGAGTCATCTAGCGGCCTTGGATGGTTGCCCTCCCCGCGTACGGATTGCATCCGGACCGTCTGAGCTTGTCCACCTCTAGGCAGCCTCAAGTATAAATAGGAGGTGGTAAATGATCCAAAACTTAAGACTCTTGAGCTACACTTGAGAACTTTTATTCTCCATTACGACCTCGTTTGAATCCTCATACCTCAGACCTCTATCATCTCATACTGACCTTGTACTAACTTGACCATCGGAGTCCTCACCTCGGGTATCAACTTGAGGCCTCTGCCATGTTCTCTCTCCACTCCTTGTAGGGCCGATCTACCCGCCCTCAGCTACCTCAGACCTCGGGCAACTCGATTTCACCTCGGCTTAGGAGAGAATTGACAATGTTGACCTCAGCCCCTTTCGATCATCAATAGAATCCAAGTACTTTCTTCTTTTTTCCTTTCTTTTCTTCCTATTGTTACAACTTATGATATTTATAGATTTCGTCTCCATATCAAGCTTCCTTTCAACTGAACATCAGATCATGTTCAGAAAACACATTGGTTGTGTTTTGGGCATCTGTCAGTTCTTCAAGGATAACCTACTAACCCTTTTTCTTCCTTTTCAAAACCAGAGTTCGAGGAAGATGTAAATCATCTTAAAATCCTATTGGGTGCATTTGAGAAGCACCAGATCTTTGAAGCCGATCTCAACAGATCAGACAACTTTGAACCTATAATTGATGGTTGCATAGGAGTCTTTAACGTTGCACATCCCATTGATTTGGAAGAGAAGACTCCACTGGACACTGTGCTTAAAACATCAATAGAGGGAGCATTAGGCATTCTCAAGGGGTGTCTAAATTGCAAGACGGTGAGAAGAGTCATTTACACTTCCTTTGTCTCAGCTTCTTTTAGCATCAACAAGGACAGGAAATTGATGAGAAAGTGTGGACATATGTGGATTTCTTTAGGGCATTTAATCTTCCTGGCACTGCGTATGCCCTTTCTAGGACTATCATAGAAAGGGAAGTTCTTCAATTTGTTGATGAACATGAATTAGATGTTGTTATAGTGCTTCCTTTTGGGGTAAAATAAGTATTTGAAAAGATTTGATTCTTTGGATTAACATTTTCTATCTTGGTGATTAATGGGAGGTTTTTTGTTAATTTATTTAAAAATTCAGGAGAGGTTTTTGCTAAAGTGAAACTATAAGGGAGGTTTTTATAATTGTTAGAAACTGGGAGGATTTTGTATTTTACCCTTTTTTTAAGGGTAAGTATGGTATTTTAAAAGACAATGCATTAGATCATCATTTTTCACAAGAAAAAAAAGACTAAAGAAACATAGAAAAGGTTTTTATATTTTTCTCTAAACTTAAAATTAAAAGAGAGAAGAGAAGGTACCTCAAGGGCATAATTTCGATCCTTTGGAGAGGACGGTTGGGAAAGCCGGAAGAGCGATATCTGCCGCTGCGCCTACGAACCGAATCCAGCCATTGGTTGAACCGATAAGCTGGACCTGCCGTTTTATCACCCAGTAGATACAACACCTGAATCATATATTATAATCATTTTAACAAAAAAGAGAAAATTCCACTTTAATACCCTAAACTTTGGGGGTAGTGTCAAGTTAGTACCCAAACTTCTAAACTTTTAAAAAGTGTCAAGTTGGTCCTTGTTGTTAACCGACCGTCAGTTATTTGTTGAAAAAGTCAAAACTACCCTTCAAAAGAAGACAATGTTCATTGTCTTCCACCTTGAGACTGAACTAGTTATCTTCAAAGAAAAAAAAAGGAAAAAACATGAAATATGATAAAGGGAGACAATAAATGAAAGCAAAGAAATAACTAGACAAGAACGTGTTTCAGATCTAAAGGTAGAAGATAATGGCTTAATTAGTCTAGAATCTTAAACACCTCAACTGGTTTAGTCTCAAGGTACAAGACAATTATTAATAGTGTTTTCTTTTGAAGGATAGTTTTGACATTTTCAATGGCATGGACCAACTTGGCATTTTTTGAAAATTTAGGTACCGTATTAACATTTTTGAAAGTTCAGGTACTGATTTGACACTACCCCCAAACTTGAGGGTACTAAAGTGAAGTTTTCTCAAAAAAAAAAAAAATCCGTAAATCAATCATAGTGGAATTTCAATTTGAGAAAAAATAAATAGAAAGGAGAGAATTGCCGATGTGAGTGGGTTAAAGGGGAGAAGGGAAAGGAACTCACCCGAGAAGAGAAGGTGGGCTGAGATGGGACTCCAGATTCGTCCGATAATGAGAGGTCGAGATCCTTCTCTTCTCGTTCTTCGTCTTCTTCCTCTCTCTCCTGCAAACCCACGATGAGAAAGAAGCCAAGTAGAGATGATGATGATAAAATTGTTCTGAGTATATACTCAGGGATTCAGAGAATGGTGAAACCAGATCACTAGCTAGATTGAGCTAAATGGTACCTGAACATTGTTGTGGTGGTGGGCTTCCTCTTCTTCTTCTTCTTCCAGTTGTCGTTGCTGCTGCAGGGTTCGAGAGAAGATGGCAGTTTCCTCTTTTTCCTGCCGAGCCATTATTCTTTGCATTTTGCTTTGTTTTCTGAATATTGGAAAGAAAAGGAACAAAATCATCAAAATAGAGAAAAGAAGATTGGAAGCAGAAATGCACGGAACGGAAACGCGGTCAGTTCCTCTTTTTGCGGGTAAACACAAATAATGAAAAGAAAAGGTCCACCACCTCGTGGTCGTGGCGGTGATGATGGACTTGGCTATTGCCGAAAGAACCAAAGCCAACCAAGCAAGCAGGCAGGCACCCTCTTACATTACCCTGCCGCTGTTCACGTACGCAGTCGACTATTCTATTCTCAAACACTGCATTGTTACGTTCAGTGGCAATTTGGCTTCACGTCCAGAACACCATGGACACAAAGTTACGGTGACGTAGGATTTACATACCTATTTTTCATTGCAAAAAAGAAAAAAAAAAAAAAGAAAGAAAAATCTCAGCCTTTAAATTTAGAATTTTGATTCATACATATGTCGACCAACATATGATAATCCGGCCCAGTTTTTGCACTCATACATACATGATAAATCCATTCTTCTCCACTATGCACTGGCCACTGAAAGTGTGAAAGAGACCAATGTCTTTAGGTGTAGGACGGTAGTCAACTCTCGTACATGCTTTCTAAATCTCACTTGTATTTCTAATGTCTCACCTTTATTCATGCCTTTGTTTCATGTTTGTGTCAAATCTGAGATGAGGAGAGGAGACTCCCTTACTGTGCAAGAACGCCAACGACAACGGCAAAAAGGTTTTCATCTTAACCAAATCACCGGCAGGGCAGCTTGCTGGGCACCGGAAACGGCAAAAGATTCCTACCCTCTTAACCCATTAGTTTCTGTAGTTTTCTAATTTTCTCTAATTAACATGCTTTTAAGTTGTCCTTACCTGACATGAGAACAGGGATCTAATGCCAACACAACTGTACATGTGAACCAATCACGAATAAACTTGAGTGTTCTTGAGGCCTACACCATTTGGGTCTCATGCATATGGAATAATAGTGTTTTACTGGTAATTGGTTATGTAGCCTGGTTTACACACTAATGTTTGCGGCAAAACTTGTCTCATGCTATATCTTTTCATCTCTCCATTTAGGAGAAAAAGGATTCAACTATAATTCAGAAAGATGAGCCCGGATTGGCTCTATGCAACCTGTTACGAGTGAAATAGGTCAGTATTCCATACACATGGAGCTCATCATAGAACCCACATCTTATGCGTACTAGTGTAGTGTTTGCTCATGATGGATTTGCTCAATTTGCGGTGTATGATTTTGTCTACGGTCAATCCAGATTCCAAAAAGATACGATAAAATTCATGGAGCATAGATTTTTTGAAAGATTAAAATTAAACTAAAATAGTAAGTGATAATACCAAAAGAGCTTTGACCAGTTAAGAGCTCTTTTAGGCTCCTTTAGGCTTCAGCTTTGATTGAATTGGCATTGACTTAGGGCTTGTTCGTTTCCTCTTAAATTTTATCTTTTAAGAGGAATCTTTTAACTTTAAGAGGAAAGTGGGTGTTCATTACATTTTATTTCTTATTTCTTAAAGTACAATTTTTTTGTTTTCCAATGATACTCTAAAAAAGACAAACAAAAACTCTCATATATAGAGTCAAAATTGATATTTGATAATTATTAGAATTCACAACAACATTTTTGCATTCAAACTTCAGAAGAAATAAAAATTCACCAATACCAATATACCTCTTACTGTAATTATTGCACTTTTAAATGTCAAACTTCAAAACAAATGAACAGACCCTTAACCACTTTATAGCTTAGTTTCACCACGAGGAAGTATGCTTTTTTGAAGGCAAAAAACAAAAGACAAGACCAACAAAGAAAAAGCTAATCCTAAACCAAAGAGGCTTCAGTTTAGCAAAAGCAAATAAAACTTCACTTGACAGGAGAGAAACCGGCGACTAGAGGTGTCAACTGGACGAATTTGGTCCAACCCGATCTAGTCCAATGTGAGTCCACTTATAAATGGACTGGACCTAATCCAGTCCATATCCAATCCATTAAAATGTAAATGGGTTGGATTGGATCCAATCTAAAGTGAATGAAATATCGAAAATTATATAAAAACACTTTTAGCATTGAAAAAACACTATCGTAAAAGTACTTTGAAAAGAACATTTTCATAAGTGCTTTTACAAAAGCACTAAATTGAAAGTACTTCGAAAAAATGCTTTTGTAAAAGCACATTCCGAAAAGTACTTCCATGGACTTATAAAAGTACTTTCGTAGAAGTGCTTTCTTAAAAGTACTTTTGTAAAAGTACTTTTATAATAGTGATTTCGTAAAAGTTCTTTCATAAAAGTGATTTTCAAAAAGTGCTTCCATAAAAGTGTTTTTGTAAAAGTATTTTTATAAAATTACTTCTATAAAAGTGCTTTCGTTTAACTATTTTTGTAAAAGTGCTTTCATGTAAAAGTACTTTTACAAAAGTGCTTTCATATAAGTACTTTTGTAAATGTGCTTTCGTAAAAGTAGTTTTGTACAAGTGCTTTTATTATTAAAGTGATTTTGTAAGTGCTTTTATAAAAATACTTCTGTAAAAGTAATTTTGTAAAAATGTTTTCGTAAAAGTATTTTTATAAAAGTGATTTCATAAAAATATTTTTCATATAAGTGCTTATATAAAAGTATTTTCGTAAAAGTGCTTTTATAAAAATACTTTTATAGAAATGATTTTATGCTGTTTTTAGTTTTGATTGATTTCAAATTGGATAAAGGCTTGGCATCACAATCAAATTATTAAAAAATTGATTTAGGTATAATTCAAACCAATAAAAATATAGACCAATTTATTTTAGATTGACCTAGTCGCTGTTGAAATCCTATTTAATAAGGTTTGATTAAAACCGGTTTGGGAGAGATTGTATGTTGAATTGTTAATTGAGCTACTTGGAGAAGTTACCTAAAATAATTTCATGAAAAAGTCGGTTTTGAGGCTTTTATAAGGTCAGAAACTGATATAAGGTCAGAAACGTTCACCCAACCGCACATTGGATTGGATTGCTGGCCACATATTACCAAAGTGCCGGCTGGGTAAACGTAGCCACCAGTCCACTGATCAGCGGATCCAAAAAAGCCCTCCCATATGATATTTTGTACGGTCACTAAACTCCACAGTTGAGTTATGATGAATACCGTCTAAAAAGACGTAGATCCATGCATAAGCATGGGCGTTAAGCAATGGGCCCAGACCCACATAGGCAGAATGAGTCTGTGTCTTGTTCTTGTGTGAGCTTATTATGGTATGTATACACTATACAGTACATCTAGCACCAAATTCATGGGATCGAACGTTTTTCCTTCCACCACAATTGACATATCCTTCCCATTCAACATTCAAAGAATGCCTACGACCCAAACTCACTCAAGCAAAGCTTACTTGAAAGAGAAACGAAACAAACTCACTCAGTGTTATGCAATATATATAAAAAAAAAAGAGGAACAAAAATTACTCCGCACAGTAGGGCCCAGTTTCTAATGGCCACGACCGCCAGGCCAGAGAAACTGAACCTGCTGGCAAATACCAGCTTAAAAGCTGTAAACTTTTGTAGAAAACTTTGGCTGTTCGAAAAGAAGAAAAAGAAAACATCCTGAGAGCTGTTTGGGAGCTTCCTGTGCATGACACGTTGCCCCCACTAGGTCCCTTTCTTGTCTCTTTGATGACTGAAAAATATTGGTTGCAAATACACTTTTACCCCACACCCTTGGTAAGGTACTAAGGTGTGATGGGCAGGAACGTCCAAAACAGCCCAGGCTGGGCTGTTTTTTTTTTTTTCCTTTTATCCAAACAGCAAAAGTTTTCTGCGAAACCTTGAGACCTCAATTTTGTTTCTTTGCATTCGCATCTTTACAAAATTCCTGTTAACTTTGAAGTTATAGAACAATGACAAACCCAGGGGACAAAAAAGAAAAATTGCAATTTCTTTCTTTCACTAGATTGACTATTATTCCTTCACTATTGAATACCATGAAAAACATTACTTACAACTTCTAACTTTTCTTTCCTTTTTCTCTAAATGAAACTTATCATTAGATCAGAACACTTCAGGCAGAGGCCGGCCTTCAAGAAAGGACTTGAACAGAACAAGTGATCTCTCCGGCTGTGAGAAGGGAGCTTCATGTGAAGCACCTCTAATGGTGGCAAATGAGAGAATATTTCCATAATCTTGTGTCCATCCACCAACCTGGAAAAAGGGAATAGTACAGAATTTCAGTTGAATATCATGCAAGTGTACTAGATAACAGAGGAGCCTATACAAAAATTGTACGACCCAATACCGAATTTTTTCATTCCAAGCTTTTTTTTCATGGCTTTGGCTCTCAAGGAGAAACAAAAATAAGGAAGCTAGAGAGTTATGTCGTAAAGAATATGAATATCATGCAAGTGTTACAAAAAGATTTACCTGCTGCCCCGCAAACCAAACTCTGTAAGGCACCGTAGTATTCAGCCCAAGCTCCATTGCCAGTTCATGTACCAGAGTTCGGCTACCAGTTAATGGGATAACAGAATCTTGATCCCCGCTGAAGTGAAGAATGTTATTGTGTCATTTCTAACAAGTTATTCAGAGTTTTTTTTTTTTTTTCCTTTTAATCTCAGATAATGAAGATGAACCTTAAATTCTAAATTTACCTGTAAACCAATACGGGGATTCCAGCCTTAACAAGTGAGCCTACAATAGATATGGTAGGTATCTCCAGATTAAGCAGCTCATAATCCAGGATACTGTCATAGCCATCAATGCCATAAGAAAAAGAGTTCAAGTCAATAGAAGAAGATGTAATGAAAACCCTGCCCCACATTCGGCCCCAAATCCTGTTCACAGAGGAACCGAGTCCCTTCTGCATCCTACACTTCAAGCAATAAACTACAAGCACTCAAGCAGTCTTCTTGTAATATCATGGCTAGTTTGGCTACTAGAAGTATAAAAACAGTCTGAGAAAATGGGATTATGTCTGCTTATTAGGATAATTAAATTATTCAATTTGGCCATTGATAAATTCTATCATGAGGCTGGCCAGTTATCATGAGACCGAGTGGCCAAAAGTTCTGTACCAACAGGACGGTCAATTTTCAATTATATCATTCATTGTGTTTTTTTCATAAAGTGAAGAGAAGTACTTGCTGCAAACAGCCCATCTGCGGACTCCTACAAGACGTGCATGGAGAGCCTTCTGCACATCCCGCCTGTTTAAGTAATTAACTGTTTCATCCTCAACACAGACATCTATCCTCTCGGTAACTTGCTGTCAGATAAAAACAGAAAAGAAAAAAAAAAAGAAGATAGTGAGAGGGGGAAAATGAAACACAGACAAAAGGTTGAGTCAGAACAAGAATAAGAAATTTGAAGCAGTTAATGGAGTTGATGAAAACCATGTTTTCAAACTCACCTGGGGATTAAGCACCTTGGATTGCGAAAGCACTGAAGATATGCAGACGTCAAGAGTAACATCATACTTGTCCACAAATCTACTGGTTTCTTTGCTCACCCGGCTCATCACCCTTGAGCAGACAGAGGAAATGGAACCCCTGTAGTATTCACCAACATACCGAGAATAGTTACATGCAGAGGTGAAGAGTTTGTATGTAGAATCTGATATCAACCCATGAGACCAGAAGAATTCAGCTCTTGAATTGAAATCTGTAGCAAATTCTAGAACTGGGTTTCCCAGCTGCAGTTGAAGAAACTTCATCGTTAGGTTCAAGCAAGAATAAATAATCTCATTAAAGATTAAGAATCGAGTAAAATCGTCAAAATTTGAAGTTTCGAGTTTATAATACTCACAGCAATTCCTTTCAGATTGAACAGCTTCTCCTTCTTGTTGAATTGAATTATAAGCTCTGCAAGTTGTGGAACATAGTGGCCTACAATAGCAAGAACTTCGGAATCGGTGTCTTTTATGTCCTTTGCAATCACAGGAGATGGAAGTTGTTTTTGAGCAACAGCTTACCTGCATAGCTTTCCCCTGTTATAAACAGGTCCTTGTGCTTATATTGTGGGAACTTGAGGAACCATCGCTGCAAGAAAACGAGATTGTCCCTGGCTTAAGAAAGCAAAAGTAAAAACAGTCTCAGAACGCAATTTGCAAAGACTACATGCCTGGAAATCAGAATTACTCGTAAACGGAAGTTTAGATATGGATGATAAAGCCATGGTAGATACGTTCAATACAAGGAAAATTTTTTTGAGATACTCTGTACAAAAGGAACTACAAAATATTCATTTTCCGTATCTTAGAATCCTAAACATAATGGTTGTTCAGGGAAGGAATAAAAAAACTCCGGGAAGCAAAACAACATTTTGATTGGAACAGCAGAAGATTTCCATTAAACAAAAATTGGAGTTAAAAAAATAAGTATAGATCTTTCGAGTCAACATGTGAAAATAAATAAAAGGAAGAGAGAGTAATGAAATTGAGACATGCCTGTTATCTTGTCATCCACGGCCACATAGGAGGAAGTATCAGTCGAGTAAGAGAACCCGACTCCTACAGGTGTCTCTAAATATAGCATATTTGCTTCTGTGGAATAGAGAGATAAAGGAATCAGCCATATCCTTTTATGCTTTCTGTTACCACATCTTAATGCTCAGAAAAAGAAAAAAAAAAGGGAAAAAACATAAACAAAAAGAATAACTATTGGAAGTGCATGGGCATGTCACCTCTGTTCCAGCTATATTCATTTCTGACCAGAACCTCCCCACTTGGTCTAAAAGGCCCATTTTCAGAAAATGCCCCAACTCCAAGGGAAGAACAACCAGGCCCTGCACAAGAAAATTCGAACACACTCAGAATCCTAAAATCCTGAATTCCTTCTCTTTCTTTCTCTCATCTTCTGCACACTACATTTCCGTCTTCAGTTCTTCTGTACACAGAAAATCCATTCGACTTACCTCCATTTAACCAGAGAACAAGAGGCTTCGATGCAGGATCTATTTCTGCTTCAGCGAAGTAGTAAAACAAATCTCTCCGTCTCTTGTCATCCACAGTAACATAGCCTGAAAATTGCTGGAAACTGACTTGGGGCTGTCCGGGTAACTCGGTAATCCTATCAGACAAAGAAAGAGATGCTGCTATCCCCATAAACTGGAATAGCTGCAGCAGTGCTGTAGCTGTGGCGATAATTTTCCGAGATGGACAGTGCATTGTTTCAGGAGGGAAAATGACGCTTGACAACAAAGAAGTTTCAGAGAGAAAGAGGTGGGGGTGGGGGGGGAGGTTTGTTTCTTTAGTGTAGAAGAAGAGACCCATCCGACTAATAAATAGTTTGCTCAGTGAGTGGACATTTTTAATAAACAGAAACCCCACTTTTTATTATTTATTCTAACTTTTTTTCTTTCCTTCCTGGTTTGAGTATGGAGATGATAGAGACATAGGACGTTCAGGAAACAAGAGAGAGAGAGAGAGAGAGAGAGAGAGAGAGAGAGCACTTCACAGTGACTCGTGAGTAGGGTCGTCTCTGCTGAATTGGCTGATTCAGCATAGAGGTTGCTGCTTTGAGATTGAAAAGAGAGTTTTGGAATATTTGAAATCCAGATTCCTGATACTTAAAAACCCTGATTTCCCTACCTGAAATTAAATATTTACAACCACGTGGCTTTTATTTTTGTTTTAACTTTTAACCAAATAATAACCAGTAATAAACAAGAAAAATACCCTTTATACTTTAAGCAAATGCAGTTACACTCTGTTGCACAGAAAGTTGCATTACAAGATTACTTTCCTTTCTGAAAATGAAAGAGAATGAAAAACAGTATTTCCCAATATATAAGAGAAATTTAATTAATAAAAGAAGATATCATCTTTTGCTTGAACAAAAAGAGAACTATTGTCAGAAACCAGGCCTCGCTTCTTTTGTGTTTTCCAAAAAAGAAATGGATTGAGTGATTAAACTTTGATTATCTCCAAGTACAAGGCCAGGAGATATGGATGAAGATGCCATTATCCATGTATGATAGTTGCTAGTTGCTACTATACTGTCATTGAATGAACGCACTATGTCATTATCCATCCACATTTTCCTTCTAATTAATGCAACAAGCGAATTTTATCTGACAAAATGGGTTTGACTGATAATTCGTCAAAAACTATTCCAAGTCAAGACAACCATGTTGGAATGTTTACATTATAAATGGTTTTTATCAATAATTAGAAGATTAATTAACAGGAATGTAGAACATTTTTTTCTTAATTTCCCTTGTTTTCTCAGAACAATTTGCTCTGTTTGTGATTTTCTTTCTTCTTTTTTTTTTTTAAATTTTCTGTTTAACTTCTGTGAAAGAGAAAAAAAGGCATTGTCTTGGTACAATTAATGGTACTCAAGCTACAATTTTCCATCCATCCCAAGATCCTATTTTTTTTTCCCTGCAAATTGATTCAAGCATACATATGATAAAAGTAAATAGTGAAATGAAATGTGGGCTTCTGAAGGTATGGACCACTAAATATAGTTTTGCCTCCCCCCCCAGCTGAGGGAAGGTACTCGCATTACAGAAGGCATTTTGAAAAAGTTGGGTCATTCTGTACAGTCCGACTTGAATACCTGTCATACAAGGCAAACATTTGCACACTCACGTGATACCTTTCAAGAAAAGGACCACTACCCCAGATGGAAATTACAAACTGTTTGCACAAAGTTTATTGTATGGGGGAGAAAAGAAAACCTCTCATTTGTTTGGAAACTGTTGTAGTTTTCTCATTATTTTTGCCTTCTTTCTGATATAACAGGAAACTGGAGCTGTTCATTATTGTTATTATTTTTTTTGGAAATAGTGATCAGGAAAGGGAATCTCTTTGATTTGGTATATGGGTTGGGAACTTGGGATTGTTCCATTTTAGATAAAAAAAGGATATAACGAAAAAAATGGGATAATAAAGTGATCTTCTCTTTATATAGATAAGAAACTTCTCTGCACGATGGGTTCTGGTTAGTCATAATAAGAGAAAATTTGGTAATGTTTAGAGTAATTAAGTTCAGTTGATCCACAAATTTTCTTTTTTGTATTTTGATACACATTGATGAAGTGAGATGAAACAATTAAATACACATAGATCAGGGTAGAGACTATAGAGGGAGAAAATAATGTTGCAAGTAACAACCAAGACCGTTTTCTTTGTTTCTTCTTAATACTCAGTTCGGGGTGTTTGCTACATTTTGGAGCAATTATTTAAAGTCTGCGTTTATAAACGACAAAATTTCGTCCGTTATCCGTGTTCATATGGTCAGCACACACAGACACAGCTGGTCTTTCACAAAAGACCCTGATCCTAGCATGTAATTACTTTATTGCCACTAACATAGTAACATTTAAAAGCAGCTTGGATGATGATGATGGGATTTGTTGGAGGGTTAGGATCATGTATGGAGCATCGGAACAATTAATATGCCATCCAAGAAGGAGAAGAAGAAAAAATAATAATAATGAACTGTAAACAGTAATAGTACAGTGCACATGGCGCAGGAAGGGAGCCAGAAACTATTTGACAAATAGATGAATTGATGGAGGGACATGCATATATTATTTATATATAGCCGGAGTAGACCATCTTGTCTTTTTGCTTGAGATATGGCGAAGATGTACGTGGAGATCATGGACGAAGAAAAGGAGATCATGCGAGACACTGACACTGGAGCTGACTGCTCTAGCTGCTGCAAGGCATCCTTCTCTCTGTCTAGCTAGCTGCAGAATGCAGGTTAATTATCCAAGCCAAGGCTTCTGCCCTTCTGTTCTCTGCCGTCTGCTTAAGGTCAAGATGTGAAGGGTGACTCATGACTGCTGATCAGAAGGTTAGCAGCAAGTCATCCTTCCTCTCTTCTCAGTAGTTACCCCTCCTTCGCCTACTCCTATCATCTCCATGAATGCGGATTACTCCACTCCAACTCCATCCACTTCCACTAAAAAATTAAAAAAGCAAGACATTCCATTTCTTGGCTTTTGAAATCTAATCTCTCCCATCTCCCATGCATACTTCCAACTCCAGCCCCTTTCTTTTTTTTTTTTTTTATGTATGTATATTTTATAATATTTTGTTTGATGCAGTAGTCCTGCTCCTGCTCCTGCATCTGCATCTGCATGAATTAATGTATTTGGGTATTACTTTTGATTAAGATATAGAAGTGGTTGAGATAGATTATTCATGTTGGAAAATGTTAAATGTGTGCCTACCAATACCAATACCACTCATTGGAGTGGAGTGGAACACTGGAGCATGGGGGGGCCTGGGCCTGGGCCTGGGGGGCACTCGTGCTCAAGACCATCACCGTGGTGTTGAGTGTTGTTCGCTTTTCATTTTTCAAATTTGGAGCCTTGCGATGGACCCAATGCTTCACCTTTTCTCTTCTTTCACCTTCATTTTTCCCTTTTAATGATGGAGTTCTTTTTTAATTATTATTTTGAAAAAGTCCATTCACTTTTTTCCCCCTTGTCAACAAAGCTTTTCTTTGTTTAGTGTAGGACCGTATATCCCTTGTTTCTTCTCTGAATCCAAGTTACCCACATCCATCCATTTATTCTGTTAAAAAGTAATGAATTCTATTTTATTTCTGATAGCAATTAGGTTTTATTTATTTATTTTTTATAAATGAGCGAGGAAAATGGAAAAGAAAACGGATGTGGTTCATATGGGATCTGACCAGGTCGCCCAGCACTAGTAGAAAACCACTACCATAACCATCCTTATTGAAGGGGGTTCAAAAATGTGATATATATCCAGATGTGCTTGTGCTCCCAATTAAACTACATAATTAACTCCTATTAACTAGTAATTAATGTTTTTATGTAGGACTTATCACTAATGTACTAGAGAACAGTTAACTATAAAAGAATATATATATATATATACTGATGAGTGAGTGGAAATACGAAACATAAAGCTTCAAATGTGAAAAAGGTCAAAAACTAAACTGTCCGAACAGAAGTCTCTCTTTCTCTCTCACGGTCTTATCCATCCTTGTTCCGCAAGTCTTGTATGGTGGGAGTGAGAAATGATGGGTCAAAGAAAGGAATGATAATAGGAATCAACGAGGACAAGGCGATAAGCATTCCCGCTCGTGGCATGAATTACTCACGTGAGATATTCTTTTGGCGTGGTGGGCCAGTACAGATGTAAAAGAGAGAGCATGTGTGATGGTCCCACTGTTCGCTCAACGCCTCAACGTAGAGGAAGAGTGCGCAAGGAATGGCGTATTGGTGTGATTTCAAAACCAACCCCCTCGGCCCCTCCACCTCCCCTTTGTTTTTTCTTTTTGGGGTCTCCTGTGGGCACGAACACGATTGAAACCACGCCCTCTTCAGATCCCTAGTGTCCAACCACAACAGCCAAGAATGGAATAATCGGAGTGTTGCTTTGTCTATTATTAATTCACACAAGTTGAATATGTATATATATATATATATATGCTTTAGAGATTGGGGGGGGTGCTGTTGAACTGAATTTGGAGAAGAGATTCTTATTCTATTCATCAAGTAAAACAAACACGACTACAACGGGGCAAACCCAAATCCCCCACTCCATTCCACCATTCAAGTGGAACAGGGGATGCTCCTCCTGACTTGTTCGCCTGATCAGTCCCAACTCCCAATTAGGGCTGTTCATAAGAATGTCCAACCCGATCAAATCGACTAACCCGGATCGATTCAACTTGAGTCGGTTGGGTTTTCATCCATACCGGTCGGTTTCGGGTTGGGCACATACATAAACTGAAATCTCAGGTCGGTTTCGGTTTTCAAACCGAACTAATATTCTACTAGTTTGGTAGTTCCTACTTCCTAGTTTGAGTAGTTTCCTAATTTCTATTAGTCTTCTACTTTAGACTTCTGCTAGAACTAGAAGTTTAGAAGGTCCATTAGGCAATTACAATTAGAATTCAATTAGGTGTCATTTTCTAGTTTTTTACATAGATTAGAATTTAGAAGGTTTCTAAATTTTTATTTTATTGATTTACCTACCTAGATTACCTAGTTTTTTACTCTAGAAGGCCCATTATTAACACTTGTTTTTACATAAAGAATTTATTGATTTTATTCTTTACCTGAATTAAATTTAGATTTATCTTGGACTCTTGAATATCAAATTATCAATTAATTCAGATTTTATTTACCTTTGTACAAGAGCAAAACCGAAACCGACCCAACCCAACTCAAACCGACCAGGTCGGTTTGGCCTGTCAGTGGATCAGTTTCGATTCCCACCTTAGCTAACCCGATCAGGTCGGGTCAATTGGAAAAATCCCAAATAACTAACTCAACCCAACCCGTGAACACCCCTACTCCCAACTCCAACACAGCACACCTGGGATTCAACATTTTAAAATTAAGCAAGCGTATAACACATGAAAACAGTTTTGATCATTTCAACTCAGCTTCTTTTATGTGACATACATATAGTGACTCGCCCAACTACGGATCATCTACAAAGCTTAAATTATATATATATATATGCCGAGTCG